GTGCGCTGCAGGACTTTGGTCGTGTGGTCTTGTGCAGCAACATCGTCCAGGGTCTTGGGGCGACTAATCAAGATCAGTAAAATGCTCGGTAAGCTCGACATGAAGCATTGACTTACTATTTCTCAACCCACGGCTGGAGTCGAGTCGAGTCTTCCTTGTTGTCGCCAGCCTTGGGTTTAGAGCTGCTGGATGCTGCGGCGGCTGCGGCACGAGCCTTATTATTGAAAAAAGAAGCAGCCATTGTTGTTGAATAGCCCGAAATCAGCAAAGTCAGGGTTATCTCGAGAGCTGGCCTGCGATGTGTTGAAGATCTCTCTGTCGCCCTCCACAATCAAGACGCGTCTCCACGTGACACGCGCAGCACTTAAACATACTGACCAATGAGAGCATCTCACTACCTAGTATACATCACCACCGTTAATGCTGGTATTATAGACTAGAAAGATTCTCGTGTTGCAAGGATCATCATTGCATGGTATTTCATTAATACTTGGATCAATAACTATAGCTCGTCGCGCACCGGTTCCTCCATCCCGGCCTCGAACATCCTCTTTTTTGTGTTCCGGGGAAGCTCTGCTTGTCTTGCCCTCTCTTCCGGGGTGACATCGTCAATGTCCACGCTTTTCTGTTGCTCTTGCTCGACCATGTTACCAATCTTGTCAATTACACGGTTGCTGTCGATTGGTGCTGACGGCTCTTGCTCCCAGGCAGCGTTACTGGCCGACACAGTTCCTGTTGCAGCCGCCGTGGCCATTTGACGAATAGCCGTAGAGACATCCGCAGAGAGGGAACGAGAAGCAGACTCCACAGCTGTAGTGGATAGCCCGGCTGCACCTAGGGTTGCAAACGCAACACGAGCGATGAGCTTCAAAGGAAGCCATACAAGCCACCAAAGAGGCCCATAGAAGATACGTCGGAATAGAAGCCACGCAATTGTACCAAGAAGGACATAGAAAGCAGTCTCAAGATACCATGTGTCGGACTTTCGGGAGCGAAGAAGAGAGTTAGCGAGACTGCGGGATGAAGAGAGAAGTGTGTCAAGCTCGTTATAGGACTCGGATAGAGATGTAATCGCGGCTGTGGATTGTTCTAATTAGACAGTATTAGCGGCTGGCAGGACCAGGGGAAAGGAAAAAGGTGCTCACCAAGAGTCGATTGGGCGAATTGGCTGCGGGAAAGCTCAGCCTGCATGAGTTGATGGGTTCTGCGTAGCGCAGATGTCACGTCGTTCGAGGCGTTCAAAACAAGATCATCTTGAGTGAGTTTCTCTGTCGGCTGCTTCTTCTCGGAAGAGTGCGATCTCGACAGCAGCAACTCTCTCTCCTTCCGTTTGGCAAGTTCGGCATTTCGCTTCGCTTGTAATTGGGCGGTTCGGAAATCACCTCGTGTTCTGGAGAGCCGATTAGCATGTGCTGCATATTTAAAGACTAGCCAGTGGGCCATAGAAGGAAATCTCCCCGGCAATGCGCAAGTCGTTTTAAGGGTATCTAACCTCTTGAGATCCTCAGCCAACCGCCCTGCCATAGAGATAACCCGCTCCTTCTCAGCCTCCTTCGGTCCATGAACAGCAGATGATTTTCGCCTGCTATCAGATCCAGTTTCAAGCGCTTCGACCTCCACACGTAGCAGCTCTAGCTCTTGTTCGGCTTCCTTCAGCCGGGAATGTATCTCACTCCCAAGCTCCAGGCGGGCTTCATCGCCCTGTCCTATAGAAGCAGAGAAATCGCGCAATCGATCCACGAGGGGCTGGATTTGTTTCAGGGAAGTCGAGAGCTCTTTCACGCGGCCCTGGAGAGCTGTCGTGGGGGGCATCTTGTGATAAGAGTATTGCTTATTCGATGCGACGCATTCGAGTGCTGTTTGTTCGGGGATGCTCCAGGAGTTGAATGAAATTGTGAAATAGACAGTAGAGATTAGCCTGAAAGATTTGAAGCAGTAAATTGCTTCATAGGTTTATTGCTTCATAGGTGTCGAGTTGTTCAAGTTGCCATGTAGACGGGCGTCATTTGGCGTTGTGTTTGCATCCGAGTCAAACAGGCCCCATTTCCTTCAACCGCAGCGGAGAGTCTTCGTGCGCTTAGGACTTCAAATTGACCCTGCGCCATTACCTGTCAGAGTCGTCGCAGACCGAGTGAGGTCACGTAATTTTCTCCTTGGACCAATCTTCCACCGAGGGTCAGCTGTCCAACCGCCGCGGACTCAATCCCAGAAACCACCTTTAAAAAACTTCCCGCCAACCCTCATCCACTCAGGTACGCAACAACAAAACCAAGACGGAGCTAGATGATTTCGTTCGCCATTGAAAAATCAAAAAACTGACCAATTTACAAGTCCGCGAAACCTCCCGCGCCCCTCTCATCACCAACCCAAAACCGCAACAATGACTATCCCCCGCGCCACGATAACCAGCTTCCGGACCGCCTACAACCCCTTCTCCCGCGCCTCCCGGCCATGCCGCCTCTTCCTGGGCATGCTGCGCACACCAGACACTATCCCAACAAGCAGCCCGACCCACATCGATATCCAGGTCAAGCAATTGCCGCGCAACTCCACCGAGTCACCGACCATGACTGTTGGGTTTAAGGGCGGCAAGGAGCTTACGCTGGATGTCGGCAAGCGCGGGCTGAAGATAGGCGATGTTATCGAGGAGGTGTCCCGTGTCGGCAGAGCTCTGCAGCGGGAGGCCAGCTTGAAGAACTAGTGGAAGTGTTATTGTTCGAGCTGTGCATTCGTGTATTATATTACCTATCATTTGTTCCATCTGACGATTCTGGCGCTCTTGGGCATATTGGAATACCTGAATTATTCTTACTTCGGTAGTTTATGCTTCATACCTGATATTGGGCTTAGTGGAGTGGATTTGAAGATCATGCACAAGCTGGTGTTGGAAGTGGTGATTGTTCATTGCTATCCAGTTGTTCAGGTTCGCATTTGCCCATCAGAGACTACTCTTCTCTACGCTGTGGTGGTAAAGAGGTTAAGTATTTAGAGCAATTCATTCACAATCAAAAATGAGTCCTTTCCCCGGGGAATCGAAGGACGTAGTTTCCACCAGGTAGACGATCATAGGCTTGAAAGTTTCGGTTAGTTTTATATTCTCTTGCAGAAAATATCATTTATACTGCGGCACCTGAGATGAAGAACCACTTGTCAATGCTGCCATCAATGGGAGCAGGGGGCAGAGTCTCGTTGCGGGGGATAGCAGCAAGCTGAGCCTGGTCAACACGGTCGGCAGAGTTCTCAACAGTAGTGTTGGCACTGGTGGTGGTTAGCTCCAACATCCTCAAAAGCAAGGATACATGTATATAGATAGAACTCACAGGCTGATATCACCACGGGGGGTCTTGCCAGTTACAAGCTTCTCCCAGGCGTCGGAGCACTCGCGGATGACGTCCTCGGCGTACTTCTTGTTCTTGCACTCGCCGGAGAAGGCGAACTGGTTCTCGGGCTTTCCGTCGGGGATCTTGTAGATGCGGAACCACTCGTTGGTGGCGCGCATGAGGCCAGGAAGCTGACGCTCAACATCCTCAATGTCGTTGAGCTTAGGAGCAAGAGGGTCGTTGACGTCGATGACAATGATCTTCCAGTCGGTCTCCTCCTCGTCAATCAGGGCCATGACACCGAGGACCTTGACCTGCTTGACCTGGCCGGTGTAGCCGACAAGCTCACCAATCTCGCAAACGTCGAGGGGGTCGTTGTCACCCTTGGCCTTGGTCTCGGGGTGGACGGAGTTGGGGTCTTCCCAGGTCTGGTTCATAACGTGTCAGTTATTTTTACCCCTCTTCCTATCCACGGGTGTAGGAGGAAGGTTCGAAACTTACGCGAGGGAAGGCACCATAGTTCCAGAGGTAACCCTTGTGGGGGAAGCAGTTGCGGACGAAGCGGAGCTTGCCCTTCTTGGTGTCCTGCTTGATTGGGTTGAGGAAATCATCCTTGGAGATCTGTTCATGATGCAATCAGTATATGCGGGGTCAATTGAGGTGGGTTGTCGTACCTCCTGCTTGGCGTTGGTCCAGCGGGGGATCTCAACGACCATGTTCAGGATGGTCTGCTGCTCGTTGGCGTAGAGAGGAATGTCGTGGAAAGGGGAGACGGGAACGCCATCCTTCTCAACGAACACGCGGTGCTCGAGAGTGTAAGGAGAACCGATCTTGCGGACGGAGTAAGACATATTGGGTGAAGCGGACGAAAAGTGTCGAGATACTTGGGCCGCACGGGATAAGGGAGAAGAAAAGGAAGAGGGAGGGAGAGGGGCAGTAGAAGTGGGGGGAGCCAGCGTTGCTGATGTGCGCCAAACACGGCGGGAGGCGGTGGAGGTAGCACTTCCCAGTCGGGCCAAGGGAGGACAAGTCATTGGCTGTGTTGAAAATGATGTTAATGCCTTTTTTCAGTTTTATTTAGTATTTCTGATACAAAACTTGAAACTGTACCTTCAATCCCACGGGTATATATGTTGCGATTGCGTGGTGGTGTTACCCCTTGAGCCGGAAGTTTGTATGAAAAAAATTTAAACATGGCAGATCCGAAAGTCGGTATGTTTATGATCCCCCCAAATCAGATTGATATCCCGACTGGATTGGTCAATTGTGGATGTGCATTGTATCAATTGAAGTCTCGTGCTCTCACTACGTATTAAGACCACTACATACGTAGTACATGTATAACATAGGTACGCTATATCTTTTAAATATTTGACAGGATGTACATGCATGTACCTACCCGACCCCATACTGCGAGCCCCGCCGATGTCGGCAGTATACGCGTGGCCTATAGATCAATTGCGATTGTGTTCACTTCAATTGTAGAGCATTACGATTTTGGAATTATCAAACCCTTGGAACATTGAAGAATCGCAGACAATCACATTTAAAGCTGGACATGTCGTGATCCTTGGCAGGGAATGGAGTCCAGTCATTGGTTGCTTTGATCTCACCGGCCCTTGGGAATCGGTGCTCGAAGAATACCAGACTAAAGTAAATTACGGTAATATATGAAATCTCATGACCCCCTGCCTTAGAAAAAAAGAGTTATCGCCACTATCTTCACGTGACTCCAACTTTCCATCGGGTCCCTCCGACGAAGAAAAGGACCGTTCTATACCTCTTCCCGCAACACCTAGGAATGCTATGATCAGAACTTTCCGCAAGACAATGGCAACCCTCGCAACCGCAACTGCAACCGCCCCCGCGCCGGCCGTTGTGCCGCGCGTGCCCATCCCCGCCAACGGCGTCGACTACCGTAACAAAATCGTCCTCGCCCCAATGGTTCGATCAGGCGAACTACCCTCACGCCTGCTGGCGCTGAAATACGGCGCCGACCTCGTCTGGGGGCCTGAAACAGTCGACCGCTCGATGATCGGCGTCGAGCGACGCGTGAACCCGCGAAACGGCACAATCGAATTCACCCGCATGCCCAGCAACGGCGGACGCCCTAACAAACCAATCAAAGAATCAATCATCTACCGCATCGACCCAGCGCGCGAAAAAGGCCGACTAATCTTTCAAATCGGCACAGCCAATCCAGACCTAGCAGTACAAGCGGCGCGCGTCGTGGCCGCCGACGTCTCAGGCATCGACCTCAACTCCGGCTGCCCGAAACCCTTCTCCACAAGCGGCGGAATGGGCGCCGCCCTCCTGCGCACCCCCGACCTTCTTGTCTCCATCCTGGAAGCCCTCGTCAAGGAAGTGGGCGAACCCTTCCAAATCGGCATCTCGGTCAAGATCCGCATCCTCTCTAAGCCCGAAGAAACAGAGGCCCTCGTCTCCCGCCTCGTGAAAACAGGCATCACAGGCTTGACTGTGCACTGTCGCACGACTCCTATGCGGCCACGCGAACGCGCAATCCGCGACCAGCTCCCTATGGTAGCGCGCATTTGCCACGACGCCGGCGTGGCGTGCGTGATGAACGGCGATGTGACATCGCGCGACCAGGGGCTCGCGCTGATGGCCGAGTACGGCGTTGGTGGGGCGATGATCGCGACCTCCGCGGAAAACAACTCGTCTTGTTTCCGGGCTAAGGAGGGTGGCGGCATCGCGCCGTGGCGGGAAGTCGTCTACGAGTACTTGTGCTTCTGTATGGAGTCGGAGAATCGTCTGGGCAATACCAAGTACCTGCTCAATATACTAATCCCCGGCAAGGACAAGGAGTTCAAGGATGCAAAGCTGTCCAAGACGTATCTTGATATCTGCCGCGTATTGAAATTCGATGATTTGTTTTCTGCTGCTGCACGTGTTGATCAGATACTCGGTCTGGATGATAAGTGGGAGAGTGCACCCAGTGTGACCGATACGAAAACCCAGTCTGAGTCTAAGTCTAAGGCTGTGCAGAATGCTATGGAGTCCGAAGCTGCTCGTGCGGCTGGCGGCGGTGCTGTCCGGACTAAGACGCCCGCGCCTGCTGTCCATGGGGGTGGTCCCATTCGGCGGTCTTCTGCTCCTCAGCCGGCTAAGGTTACTCAAGTTGATGCTGAGCAGCCAGTTGTTGAGGCTACTATTCCCGCTGCACAGAATCAGGCTCCGTCTCAGCTGACGGCCTGAACATTGCTCCGCGCCTCATCGCATTCTTCATCCATCATTGCTTCTTTTCACGCTCTGTCCTCGGTCCCATGCATAGCCCTCGGTTTTCTCTCAGTTACCCTTCATTTGTCTTGCTTATATCTGCATTCTGAGGTGTTTATGATTGCTTCCATCTGTTCTGTCTATAGACTATTCCCCTCTTACATACATCATGCTCACTGATGACTACCTAGTCCTTGTTGCAATACATATAACTCTACGCTTTAGAAAGCTTAGAAACATCGTGTACTAAATCAACGGTAATTGGATTTTGATCCTCTAATCTAACAAATGATATGCGATGCCCTGAATCGCCATGAACCCCCAAACACCATGTACTAAATGTGCCGTGTTCGGCACGGTATTAAATGCATTATCTGCGTCGCCATGCAGATACTCACCACGTAAACTCCAGTACACCCCTTTTTTTTCTTCTTCTTTTTTCTTTGTGCTTGCTCACTTCTTCTCTGCCTCCACCTGCAGCTCGGCCATCATCATTCCCTCGACGACCTTCATGCCGGCCTCCTCGCCCTTCTTGGCTCCGGCCTCGTCATCTCCAGCCACGGCCTGGTCAAGTGCCAGCTTGGTCTGGCCAAGTCCGTAGATCTGCTCCTCAATAGTGTTCTTGGTCACCAGACGGTAGATCTCAACCTCGCGTGTCTGGCCCACTCGGTGGGCACGGTTCTCAGCCTGCACATCTTCCTGTGGATTGAAGGAAGAGTCGAAGATGACCACGCGGTTGGCACAGGCCAAGTTAATACCGGCACCGCCGGCCTTGGTGGACAGGAGGAAGACGGGGATCTCGGTGCGCTCGTGGAAGGCGTCGAGGATGGATTGGCGGTCCTCGACGTTGGTGCGGCCATCCAGGCGGACGAATTCGATTTTCAAGGTTTCCAGGACGTGCTCAAGGATGTCCATGACCATCGTGAATTGAGAGAAGATGAGGGTGCGATCGCCATTGCTGATGAAACGGGTGAGAAGCTCCTTGAGCTGCTCCACCTTGCCGGAGTCCATCCATTCGTCGTTCTTGAGCTTGAACTTGCCGAGGGAATTGGGATTTTCCACACACATCTGGTGACACTCGAAGTCATTGTATGGCATGAGCTCCTCGAGAATGACCTTGGGGTCAGATAGCGACCACTTGTCTTCCTTCAAGCAGGCTTTAGCCATCTTCTGCAGAATTTCATCGGTGTAGTGACGGCGAGCAAGGAGGGGGTGAATGGCGGCCTGGCGCAACTTCATAAGAATGTTGGCTGACTTCGAGCCAGTCTTCTTTCCGGCAGCACGATCTGCCAAGAGCTGGCGCACTTGCTCTTTTTCATGATCGTAAATATTGACCTGAGAAGGTTTCATTTGGCACCAACCAACATGGGAATGCTTAGCTGGAAGATCAATGACCTGGTGCTTCTTTCGTCGGAGGATAAAGGGCTTCATCATGGACTTCGCGCGCTCAATGCGCTGCTGGGATAGGAGAGTAGCGTGGGACTCGTCAGTCGTCTTTGCCTTGTTGGAAAATACTGCATGGAGGTCTTCCTTGTGCTCTTGGAAAACCGAGGGAAGAATGAAGCCGAGAAGAGATGCCAGCTCCTGCAGGTTATTCTGGAGAGGAGTACCGGTGAGAAGCAGACGGAAACGCGCGCGAATTCGAATCAGTTTTTCATACAGTTGAGATTGATGGTTCTTGAGCATGTGGCCTTCATCATAGACACAAACAGTGAAATCCATGTCACGCAGGAACTTAGCATCAAGCTTCGCCTTGGCAATCGTGTAGGTAGTGATCACGACATTGATCTCGTCACGTCGTTCTTCGATCTCCTCGCGGATGAGAGCACGCTCGTTGAGACCAGCATAGTAGGGCATGACGTTCAAGACCGGACAAAACTTCTGGAACTCGCGAAGCCAGTTCTCAATGGTGGAAGATGGGACAACAATCAGGTGAGGGCCCTTGATGCCCTTCTCGAACAGATGCGCGAGGAATGCAATGACCTGGCAAGTCTTACCCAGGCCCATGTCATCAGCTAGAATGCAGCTGAGTTTCTTTTCAAACAATAATGCCAGCCAGTTGATTCCCACAATTTGGTAATCCTTCATCACCAGGTCGTCGGCCATGATAGAGGGCTGTGAGATAAAACGAGATTTGCGCTTCGAAACGACCAGTTTGCCGCTTTCTTCATCGCTGTCGGAAGGTTGTCGTCCAGATGCGGGAGTGGCAATACCAGAATCATGTTCTGATTTGGAAGGAGCCAGGTTGGTAATTTCCAAGTCGCCCTTTTTCCCGAAGGTGTCGACGCCCCATTTCTTCATCTCTTCAGCGACTGGCTTGCCGAGTTCCTCAACCTGGCCAACAAGACTGTCAATGGCCAGATATCCGGTCCACATATCAACACACTTGTCGACAATCTTGTCTCCAATGGGCTTAGGGGCCTTGCCTCCTCTCTTGCCCTTGGGTTTCGCAGTCTCTACAACTGGGGCAGAGACAACGCGCACCTCATCGAGGGTCTCGTATGGACGGTTTGAAATGATGAGTTGAGCAGTTTCTTCGGGGATAGAGGCGATATCAGCGAGATCCTGAACACGACATGTGTTGAAGAATTTCAAAACCTTGAAATCCAAACCGCCAGCGGTGGATTCTTGGACCTGGACGTTTGAATCGTCTGAATCACTCATCATAGCTTCGGGGGACTCGGATCGGTCAGGCGAAGGGGCTCTGCGACCCTTCTGAAGCCGTCCCAACTTCTTTTTCGGGGGACTGTCATCGTCGATTGTGATAGCACGAACAGGAGAAACAGCACGGGAAGAGGCGTCAGACTTGGGTCCACGAATGAGTCGGCGACGAGGCTTTCCTTCGTCATCGGAATCCTGGCCCTTGGGCTGTTTCATTGCCGCCCACTTGTCCTGAATGGTGCCACGGGCTTTGATGTTCTGCTTGGCCATGGGAACCGGGCCCGCAGCCGGGGAGGCGCTCAATTCATCATCGGAGGATGCAATCACCACGGGTCCATTTTCCTGGTCGGCGGCATCCATGTTGGCAAGGATTTGGAGCGCATCGTCGTAGTTGCCCTTTGCTTTCAACATCGCTTCCATACAAGTTCGAACAGTCATATGTGGCATAACTTTGAGAATGCGCTCAACTTTAACGCGGAGTCTGAAGTCGTTGATTTCATGAAGCAGGATGTCTGGAGTTCCCACAGGTTGTGCACGAGAGGGCGCCTCTTGACGAGATTTTTTCATGGCAACTCCCTTGGGTGCCGGCGGACTCATTTGGTCCGCAGTCCGCTTGGTTGCGGTTCCAGTATTCTTCGGATCGTACATAGCAGACGTCGTAATTTCTCGGAACCGATCCATTGGCCCGGCGTCAGGGCGGACGGGCGACTCCATGATCTTTTCTTTTTCGGGACTTCGAATTGTTTTGGCAAACATAGACGGTTTGATGTCTGTACTCTGTAGGTGATACTCTTCGTCTGAGGAGCCACCTCGGTATGTCGGTCCGTCGTCGAGATCAAACTGGGGTGTTCGTTTGGTAGGACCACAGGCAGGAGGTCGGAATTGCGTCCCAGAAGGAGCGATTAAAGATGAAAGTAAACCGCCTTGGACTCGGCGGGGAGGCGAAGGCCCTGGGCCTAATGGTGAAGATGCAGCAACTTGTATGACAGTATTGTTATGGCGCGGGTAAGGATGTTCAAGTAGTTGTGTTGGTTGTGTCAATCTTTGCGATGGGGTTGTCGTTGGAAGAGTGGCGATAGTTTCGTAGTCTTCGCCAGGAGGAGTACTCGGAATAGCTTTGATATCTCGAGGAGTATGATTGACAGACTCATCCATCGCTCACAGTACTAACAATGTCATTGAATCATAGGATCCATCTAATTGTTCTGCACTATTCAGGAACGTTTTTTTCTGCCAAAGCGGACACGCGCGACGGTGGACGCGCCCAATCACGTGTGAGTCAGTTAATTAAGCAGTGAATGGAACAAAGGAGTGAGACATATGAAGAAGTTTAATCTCATGAGGGGCCCATTGAAAAGGGTTTAGTTCTAGACAGAATGAATGACCAATAACCTCAACTTTCCCCGAATGGGTAATGAAACAATAAGAGAGTCACATGGGCTTATACCTCAACCCACCAATCAAATCCCGGCATGTGACGGGCCCTATGTTATCTCCGCACTTGCGATAGCTTCAGTTCCTTTGTCTTTCAACGCAGTGCCTTTTCTCATCCTTTGGCCTCTGAACTTTTCTAATTACTACTATTCTCAAAAGAAAAGGATGTCTGCCCGTCGCCCCCACAACCAGTCCTACGCCGATGTTGCGGTGAAGCCTGCGCCGCAAGACACCTCCGACGTGGCCCCAGCTGTTCCTGCGTAAGATAATAGCCTTAGAAGAAGCTTAACTCTATCGTTGAAGACACATTCTTATTAGCTCCGATATCTAGAGATGTGATTTACAAGCTCCTCGGCTTCACAGCTGCCATGATCGTTGGCCCGATTGGCATGTATTTCTTGACTGTGAATTCAATCTTTAGTGGTGAGTCCTTCCCTACCTCCTAATCTACAATGACATATACTGATTGAATTGATGTTACCCAGGGAGCTCGACACTCGCCGGAATCACCGCCGCCGTTACCGCTAACGTGGTCTTGTTCGCATATATCTATGTTGCCTGGACGGAAGACAAGGAGGACAGACAAGCAGCCAGCAAGTCAGATTCAAAGAAAGCCCAGTAGTTGGATAAAACTTGATCTGGGGGATGTAAGAAAATGATTACTCTTTTCGGCGTTATGGCATTGTTCAGGTGGTTGGGATTCTGGCTTTGGTATAATTGGGATGGAGCAACTTCGACCATCAAAGGACTCAATTGTAAGACTACACATTGATCGAGCTATTCATCTGACTGGAACCAGATGTTCCCAAGATATCAAGCTCCACGCTTCAACCCCGTCAGTCAAGCTCCATATTAGAAATGTGCTGTTCATGTTGAAGGAACCGCATGTAGAGACAAAAAAAGAACCTCGACCCATGCCCTCAGTATAGACAGATACGCCGATATGCAGTGCCAAACAGAAATCACTCTGTTACATATTCCTTTTCCATCAGCTTAGGTAGGTCTGCGCTTGACAAACTCCTCCAAGTCCGCCTTGGTAGCAACACCAAGCACAAACTTGCGCGCCACATCAGTGACAACAGCAAACTGCTGCTTCTCGCGCTTCTCGCCATTTGGCCCCGTCTCGCTCTCGAAGAACTGCTCGAGCTCCTCGAGCGGCGTATTCATCGTGATGACCTGGTAGATACCGCGCTTGCGGATAAATCGCTGCATCGCCGCTGAAACTGGGTCGCTTTCTTTCACGGTGCCGCTCTGCAGCAGCTCCCGTAGCCGTGGGATGCTGAGGTAGCCCAGCAGGGAGCGCTTTGTCGGGGAGATAACGGTGAGGTGCGTGTAGTCGCGCTCGTAGGCGGCCATTAGGGCTGTGGAAATGGGGTCTTGTGAGGAGATTGAGAGCGCAGGGGGAGGGTCGAGGTCTTCAATTGTTGCCTGTGTTGACTGTTAGCTTGGGTTCCGGACGATTGTATTGGGAGAGACAGACACCGCGGTACTTATCGGCCCAGGCTGCTGTAGATGTGGTGTTCGTGCCAGAAGTGGCTTGCTTCTCGCGGGTGAAGGCCTCGCTGCCGGTCAGGTATGATGCCATTTTGGGTGTGATCGCGAGGAGGGGTTGGTGAGGGGCAGTGGATGGGCTGGAGTGATGTCGAGAAGAAGTACAGGTAGGTTGAAGGTGGAGAAGAATTGGCCCAGCTGTGAATAGAAGTCAAGTTGGGGTTCTCAGTAGTGTATACCTAAATCGTGTAGGGTCAAGAGCTTTCAGCTGTTGCGGGATGACTTTTTGGTATTAAGCTTGGCATCTCTTAAACTCCACTACGGAAGATGCTTGCGGCCACGGAGTTTATCAAATCTATATTATCCTTTTTCCTTTCTTTCTTTCCTTCTTACTTTCAATTATAGAACATGGCATATTCTCAATCGTCCACCTTAGGAAAAAAGGAAAATACGCGCTTAAGATTGCTCCTGATCGATATCACCTCACCCCACTATACCTAGAGTAAATATCCTGGCTAGATTGCCAGACCATCGGCAACTACAGTAGACCTTTGTTATAACGAACCCGGGTAAAACGAAAAATTAACCAGTTTAATTCATAAATACGAATGCTTCGATTAATTCGCTAGCCTAATCTCATTATCCCCTCCTTACTACAAACATTGTCATTTCATTATTTTTCTCATGCAAGATGCGTCATAACGAAGCTGAGTTAGCAGTTTTGACCAATTAAAATACTTTACCGACCAATCCTACTTCTTAAAGGCTCGATCCATCTTTCAGGTTACTCTCTGAGAATACCGGCGACCCTCTCGGGTGAAAATTAGTCAATTCTGATGCTTCTATAGAGATACAAGATGTTTCTATGGCGAGGAAGCTATAGATATAGAGGCAAAACGATATCCGGGACCCTTTCGGGTCTAGTATGTATGTATATCAAATATATATATTCACTAGCGAACGGGAGTTTGATGTTACAAAAGCCCAATTTAATGAATATCTCACCATGTTTCATTCATTTCCTTATAACAGGGGGTTAGTGTAGCCATGTTACTAGAAAGTAATATAATTGATAACCCCAGTCTACTTTTTATGGAATCTACTCTACTGAAGACATGTCCATACTTATAATAACTAGTGCCCAGCGCACCAAACGCCGGGATTATAAACCGGTTTCTTTTCTAGCCCCGGAGGTCGGGGATTGCGACCCTGGCCAGACGCACAGACCCACACGGAGATAGCTATAACTAAGTCCAAACTCCGGTGGCTGTTTTATTTGGAGTGTAAGTATTAGTCTCTACAGAGTAAGCATCGAAAGTGAATGCTACACTCTTCAAAAGTACGTACTATAAAGTACCTTATTGGTACACCGCCAAGACTTACAACCCCCACACGTCATTGCCTTTGTGAGATCCTTATTCCTCCCCGTCAGGACCTGTTTTGTTCTGATTCAAGCTCTCATACCGATTCAATCAGAAGCAAACATTCAGTGTCACTCGAAATCCACCCTTTGGTGGAGATCACCGGATATCCAAGCCGACTCCACTTATACCCACTACCCGAAGTGCACCATGATTCCTGACTGGATCAACGCTTTCGCCGCCCAGCATCCTGTAGGTGCTGTGAGCACCACTACGAGCTCCCCTGTGAAAAACAGACCATTCACAGCTTGGAGTGCGCTCGACGATGTGAAGACGAAGGCCGATGACATTGCCCACGAGGCGAGCCGGGAATTTGATGTCGCAAGCCAGAAGGCCCAGGCGAAGACCGGCAAGATCGAGCCTGGATCGCTGAAGTACTATGCAGCTTGCACATTTGGTGGAATGCTGGCATGTGTCAGTATCTCATCTTATCCAAATTGTGACCGCTCCATGAACCAGATACTCACATATATACCAGGGCCTTACCCACACTGCCGTGACACCCCTCGACCTGGTCAAATGTCGCCGCCAAGTCGACTCCAAGCTCTACAAGAGTAACCTACAAGCCTTCAGCACTATCCGTGCAGCTGAAGGTATTCGCGGTGTTTTCACGGGCTGGAGCCCTACCTTCTTCGGATACAGTGTAAGCCCAGGCGACATGTAGATCTTTTACTTGCCTAATGACCCATGCTGATTACTACTATAACAGGCCCAAGGAGCTTTCAAGTACGGAGGATACGAGTACTTCAAGGTCTTCTACAGCGACCTGGTCGGCCAGGAAAACGCGAGCCGGTTCAAGACTGCCATCTACCTGACAGCCAGTGCCTCGGCAGAGCTTATCGCGGATGTAGCGCTCTGCCCATTCGAGTCTGTCAAAGTCCGCGGTCAGACTACCATTCCTCCTGAGATCACAGGTACTTTTAGCGGTATCTCGAACGTCGTTTCCAAGGAGGGCGTTGCTGGGTGAGTTGGACATCTCTCGCCTTCCATTCTTGAGTCAAATCCCTATAAGCTGACCCTAATCCAGTCTGTACAAGGGTCTTTACCCACTGTGGGGCCGTCAAGTTCCCTACACGATGATGAAGTTTGCTTCCTTCGAGACCATCGTTGAGATGATCTACCACAATCTGCCAGGCCAGAAGTCCGACTACAACAAGGGTGCACAAACTGCCGTTGCATTCACGGGCGGTTACCTCGCTGGTATCCTTTGTGCTGCGGTATCGCACCCTGCCGATGTCATGGTCAGCAAGTTGAACGCGAATCGACAGGCGGGTGAGGCATTTGGCGCTGCTATGAGCCGCATCTATGGTGACATTGGCTTCCGGGGATTGTGGAACGGACTGCCTGTTCGTATTGTCATGATCGGTACTTTGGTGAGTTGTTCCTATGTTCAGTGTGGTTTAATTTGGGTGCTAACAAGACTACAATCTATAGACCGGACTCCAATGGATGATGTATGGCCTCGGTTTTCTTCGGTCTGTGTGTTGGATATACACTAACTCTGATCTTACAGCTACGATTCATTCAAGATTTTCATGGGCCTTCCTACTACAGGTGGCTCAAGTGAAGACAAGAAGAAGACGAACTAAGGACGCGTCTGGTTTGATTCCGCGGGTAGTATGCGCAGCCCTTATTCTATCCTTTACCATCTGGGCCGTTACTACGCTGATTCTCATGGCTTTCCTCAAGAATATTCTACCTCAGGTTCAATACATACTCTCCTCTCGTATTATTGCCCCAATATACAAAGTAAACGCCAAGCTCGCTATCGGCCAATTGGAGCCTGTCATGCCTGCACCAATCAGAGGTCATTATCTTATCAGCGACGTCACCAATGCAGCTCTGCGAATATAGATGTTCAATGCCGTTGAATAACAACATCTAAATGATATAGATAGAGAACAGGGAACTAAGGAACATCTTGGCTCCGATTCCCTGTATTAATTTTTTTTTTGCTCCATACAATCAAGAAAAAAAATGAGTGGATTATACGATTATACTTAAAAGATCTAGATCCCCAAGTCCACTTGTCTACATCTCTCCCTGTACGACTTGAACCTACTCTGAGAACCTTAGGAAACCGTAAGCTCGCAGTTACATCCCAGCACGTGGGCTTCCCCGCCATCGCATCTGGTACCTGCATCTATCGCCCCATAATCGATAAATACCTTCCTACCCCACTCCTTCCTCCTTTCGCATTCACCCATCTCATCCAACTATCCTACGAACTACCTCACTTGCAAAGAACAACCCATACACCCGCTACAATCTCTGACGGAAACCAGAGCAACATGCCCGATAAGACCAAGACCGAGTCCGAGGCACCAATGGTCTCTCACGGCCGAGGAGGCAAGCTATCCCAGCCCTAACCACCTTTCCCCTCATCTCCATAACCAGCAGCTAACAGCTCCACAAAATCAGGTCAAGGCAACATTGGCCACGACACCACCGAGTATGTCCGAACCAGTGGCACAAGCAACACACGCTAAATACGAACAGATACGTCGATGGCGAGATCGTCCGCGAAGGCCCCTACGGCGACCAAGGTGATGGCGCTTACTCCGCCGGCGTGAGTACCTCTACCTTTCACACCAAACCCAAATCCAAGCCCAAGTCTCCAATTCCCACTGATGCAACCCCCACTGATGAATCCACCCAGCGAGGCGGCGCAGGAAATATCGGCTCCCCAATGGTCCGGCCCTCGTCTAAGGTTCCCCACGATACAGACATGATCCCCGAGCTTGCGGTGCGCGACTCAACAGATGAAACATACCATACCGGGGTAAGCAGAGAGCTCTTTCGCTTGTTTACCTTCGATCTGTTTTACGATCCCTGAGCCTTGGCCTGGTTTCCGCTCCCTTTCCTGGACTATTGCAGTTACTATTGTTTCCTACCCCGTCCCCATTTTCGGAATCCCAGACGGATTTCTTTCCCAGGATATGGCTGACTTTTGATGGTAGCGTGGTGGACAGGGAAATGTTCATCTTGATGAGGCTGCGCTCAAGGAGAAGGAGAAGGAAAAGGAGAAGAAGAAGGTTGCGCATGAGGGACTGGCGGATAAGTTGAAGTATAAGTTGCTGGGGCGGAAGTAGGGTAAATTGGGGCTTTTTTACTCTGCTTTTACTCTTGTGCTTGATGATTCCCATTTCTTGTGCGGTGATGGTGGGTTGGCCTGGTATCAATTCATTTTCCGGCTTCGTTTCCGGTTCGTTTCCAGATTCTATGGGTTTTCTTTGCCTGTTGTCCGTTTCGCGGCTTTTTAAGTGGGTCTTATATGTCCACAAATGTATACATATGCTTCTAAAGACCTTGAACGGTAAGATGCGATGAGGTGGATATCCTAGGAGAGAGGTATGTGGAATAGATACAGATTGATATAAATAAGAAACAAAAGACAACCTAAACAAGTCCCAATCCATGTGTCCCATGTATCATAACCTCATTACAGCATGTGATGACTATTAAAAAAGAAAAACAATAACAATAATCAACATCCCGCATATCCATATCCCTTTCATACAAACAAAAAACGACGCCAGTCTGCCGATCCCGACACAAAAAGGATGCATCTTGAAAAGAAGGGTTCAGATACAATATCAAGCATTATCCATTTCAATCTCAGTCCGATTTATTTAATCTTTGCTGAACCGGCGTTTGAACCAGCTCTTCCTCTTTTCCGCTTTCGGTCCACCAGGCGATGGCTGGTTCACATTCTTGCGGTCAACTGATTGTGACGGCCCAGCCCCCGCGGAAGTCGGAGTACCCCCAGCAGGTCCACCGCAATCACCGATGGGCTGGGGAGCCCTCGGTGAGTTGAAACCATTGAAACCATACTCCGCTTGAGCACGCTCGTCGAGACGCTGTTGCTGCAGAGCCTGCTGCTGCAATTGGTCGTTGGAGCTGTTGATCGAGCTGGGGTCTGTAGACTGGCCGTAGGGGTATGTGTTGCTAGAACTATTGTTTGACATGGCAGCCACATTGTCGCGCGACCGTTGGTAGCCGTATTGTGAGCTGTTGGCCATGTTTGGGTAGCCTTCGGAGGGGGTCATGGGTGTCGAGGGTGACCCGCGTGGGTGGTGGGACGGGCGTCTTCTGCTGCTCTGGCTATATCCACTTTGGTTATATCCACTCTGGTTATATCCGCTCTGGTTATATCCGCTCTGGGTGTATGGGTATGGATTGGGGTTCTCGGGTGATAGAGGTGTGTTTTGGTACGCATTCACGATGCTGTCCGGTCGCGATTGAGTTTGGCCGTAGTAGTTGTTTTGTTCATAGTTTCTGTTGGAAGGGCCGTTGTTTTGGCCTATCGGGAAAAGGATTAGAAGCAATTGATGAAGAGGGGAATCACAGAAGACATACCTCCATAGTAGCTTGTTCGACGGCTGAAGTCGCCTATCTGTGATGCGGCATCATCTATCAAAGGAATCAGCCCATATTCCCGCATTCCCGAGTTTGCTCAAGCAAGTGCCACAAAATACCTGTTTTGGCATATGACGCACGATTATTGTTGTATGAACTGTTGATAGCTGCCTCAAACGATCGAATTGTATCCAAGGGGCGTTCCAAACGCGGTCGCGTGGGATTTGACAGGTCGGGATCGGCTGGGACGAAGCAAGGGTTAGAAAGGAAGCCCCAGGATTAAAATAGTCAGTGGATACGAACTGATAACATTCCCATACTGATCCTTGAATTCAATCTCTCGCAGTGAGCCCAAATTTGACTTTTCCAGCGCGACCGAATCTATTGAAGTGTCAGTTGAAGTGAAACGCGAAGGAAATGCGACCGGCCCAGAAGCGAGGCCCAACTGTTGGGCGTACTTGGCTGAAGCTCGTTCATGGCGACGAGTGGATCTGCTTTGGTTTGTAGACTGCGACGAGCTTTCTCTTCTGACGACTCAGAAACTCCGCGTCTGTGGCCTGTTGAATCCGATTTGTCCGAGTTGCCAGATCTCACGCTGAACCCACGACTCCTCTTAGGAGAGGTGGGAGATTGGGGGGTGTCCATTTTATTAGGAGTTCCACCGTACCTTTTAGCGTCCGAGATTCAAGGCAGGTCTGAAACGGCTGTGATCTGCCTATCGCTGGAGTGGAGCGAATGTGGTGGAAGTGGGAACTGCCAAGAGGTGCGATCACAATTCAGCGCGTTTGCAATTCGAGATACGGTGAGGCTGGTCACTAGTTGGATTCGATCGACACGATGTGGTGACTGGGGGTTGCTCGAGGTGGTCTTTGGTGTTGGACTTGCCCAAGTGGTTGAAGTGGTTGAAGTGGTTGGAGTGGTTGGTAAATGTGAGATGATATGAACTGTCAAAAAGTGGAGCAGAGCAGAATTATAAGAGGATAGGTACAATAAGCCTGAATTCAGAATTGCAGAAGGTGAAGAAGAAGAAGAAGTAGAAGAAAGTGAAGATATTTCCAAGCAGGCGAAGGAAATGGTTTTTATTGGGACCACGCAATCCAAGGCTTCCAGGTAATTCCAGGTACTCTCTCTCTTCTTGGCTTTGTATTTTTTTTTTGCATTATTTTTTATGCCTGATTCCTCTCTAGCCTATTCCATTTCACTTTGAAAATATTAAGACTAGAATACTCGGCATATTACTATTCCTCCATGGTGCACAATTCGGTCCTGAGTTGCGATTGGTGATGTTCCTCCGCTTAGGCTCAAAGAAACCGGTGATGGCAATCCGGTGTATATTCTTGTACTTGGCAGGTTAATCGTCTCCAAATATCCTTAATAGTTGATATTCTGACCATAGGCTACTAGCGCTCTGTGCAACAGTCCCCGAGCCTGATATAAACCCTTGACATTCATACTCGATATAAGTACATACATAGGGTTCTTCCCTCCAACATTTGAAGATAATAATACCAAACCCTTCATAAAAAGTCTCACTTTTTACTTTTCGCTTTCCCCTTCCCAGCCTTTCTAGAAAATCGGGATCGCGATGTGCATCCGGGTTATTCCAATTGGCCAACTCGATTTATCTGCCGTCCTCTGGGATCCTCATGATCACCTTCGTTGTGCAAACCTTATGGCGTTGGGGCGAATGAAAACGAAAATAACAAAGATAGACTCCGTTCTTGCGGTGCACAATCCCTTAATGCATCCCGCACAGCCACTCTTAGACTGAAGAAACAGTTAAAAAGTTAAAACCACGTTCATCAACCTCGGGATCGTCTTGTCTTGCGCGTCGAGAACCGCGGACCGTTGGTCCGTGTGGGTTTTCTGCTAAAAATAGCCCGGTCTAGAAATTCATTAGCCCAAGGTCGGTATTGCCCCCGTACACGATATTGCGCATCTGGACCTGTGAAATTGACATATTGCAAGAAGGCTTCTTCCTTTCAAATTACTCTATAAAAATGGTATCATGCCAAAATTGAATACACCTAAGTCCGAAGACGAAAGACCAATGTCGAAGCATTCAATTTGGACAGCCATAAACATAAGTCTACTTTACTGTGTGAAGCTAATTCTGTAAGAGAATACAGCTATAAAAATAAAAGAAGGTCAACCACCCTTTAGATCGCCTTAATTTGAAAACGACACTCCCGTTGTCGCACGTTGAAGCATTGACAATAAAAAGCGAGCTTGAGGTAGACAAGAAGAGATCCTTCCACTTATCCATTGTGCAAAAAGGGCGCAAAGGCTGCTATGAGATGTATGTTGAGAATATTCCCTTTGAAGGTAGCCCGCGTCCTTTTCCATCTAGAAAATCATCAACTAACAAAATGGATTCATTCGGTGTCATGGATATGACTTAAAAGGTAAAGGTGCTCCTTTGACAGGCTGTTCCTGAAATAGTCATGCTGCTGCTAGTTTATTCTTGACAGTGCGTTCTATTCAACGGATCCTTAACTATGGGCTCCTTGTTCCCGAGGTCTTTTCTTGAACCGTGAAATGAATATGCAATTGATTGGCAAGGCGAACCGAATGATGACCTCTGCCACCAGAGACATCAACTAAAAGAGCACCGGGCTGCAGCTCGTTGAAGTTGAAAGGATCTTCAATTGTAGTTCGAGCTGAGCGTTGGGAATATCTTTCCATTGCGCTGTCAAAACGCAACCCTCGGTTTTGGTCTGCAGAAATGGTAGTACTGGTAGAAGGACATTTGGACAAGTCAGTACAACTGCAGGACTTGGCAGCAGCTAACTTACTTTGGAAAGCCATTTGAAATGACGTCTTGTGCTTACAATCTAGTATTTGATACGAGTTCACCTCGGCATACTGTGAGAGACAAGACCCCATCCGAAACCCATCATCGACGCTATATAGTCAGAAGTTTTGTGGCTTTTGGAGAAATCTTTCACTCACAGGTAACGAATTCATGAGGCAAAATTCTTGTTCCGCAAGCAAGTTGAATTACTGTTTAGTGCATATGCCTCTGGGAAAGGTCCATCAAACGTGCAACTTTCAACTCTCCCCCCTTAAAATGAGCCAGTCAGAGGAGTTTGGCAATTGCAATTCGAAAGTATGCTATAGGCAACCAGCTCGGAGATACTCGGTGAGTTATTCCTCGCCAAAAAAGCGGTCTTGGATTTGCAGCTATACTGGGACTCGCGCAGCTTTGTGCAACTCCGTTATTCGTATTTTGATGTGGCTGGCTGCAAAAAGCCTCACTTTCACTTCAAAGGAAGCAATATGCAGAATGCGGTTCTTGATATTTCATATGAAAGAGTGGTATAAAAGAATATGATGCTGGGTATAAATGGTGGCTCCCCTAGGTTTATCAAGTCATTCGCTTCTTTTTGATCGCGAGCGAAGAGTCCGAAGCCGCGTTTTTGTAAACTGGCTCTTGAGGCATTAGACAAGCACCATGTCGCTACGGATTACGGAATTTCCGGGATGGGAATCAGAATACCGCATCACGGGACTGATCGATGGTGAAAAAGGAAAGTTCATACAGGAATATACTGGCACCCCGGCAAACAGACTTGAATGCCACATCAAATCTATTGTACGTCGTGCCTCCGGAAATGAACGCCACTGTACTGACCTATTACAGGCGGAAAAGGGGTGGAATCTACGCCAATATCCATGCTTCGGGATGTTTTGGTTTCTGCACTTCGACCTAGCCGAGTCCCCAATATACGATGAGATACTAGCAAGCGTCAAAGACGGCGCTTTCTTACTTGACCTGGGCTGTGGTTTGGGCCAAGGTACTCGACGACTTGTGTATGACGGCGCTCCTCAGGCAAATATCATTGGCCTTGATCTTAGCAAGGAATTTATTGATCTCGGTTTTGAACTTTTCAATGACCAAGCCTCCTTGCGTTCGACTTTTCTTGTGCAGGACTTTTTCGAGGATTCCGAAAGCTTGGACCGATGGGCAGGTGGCTTCAACATCATCAATTCTGGCTACTTCATGCATCTGTGGGATTGGAACGGGCAATTGAAAGTGGCAAAGCGCATGATCAGCTTATTTTCTCTTCGAGGTGGTAATATTGTTACAGGTGTGAACTTTGGGAGCGAGGAGACGGGACGTTGGGCAAAGGCTCCGGCAGATCTCGATGGTCTATTTCTCCACGGCTGCATGACATTTAGGAGGCTTTGGGAGCAAGTTGGAAGAGAGACACAGACGAGACTATCTGTCTGGTCGGCAATGGAGCGGGATGAAGATCATGCAAGGTTGGACCCCAAGGGTCTGCGTCTCCGATGGTATGTGAAACTGTGGGGGGAATGAACCGCATGGAATAAAGGTCATTATGTATTCTTGGAAGACCGAAGAAATTGTAATGTACATGAATGGACGACTAGTGGATAAGTTACTTAAGATTGATATAAAGGGCTTAGTTGACAGGGATAGACCAGGTGATACGCCAATTTCATCACGTGCGTTTAAGCTCTATATGACCCATACGAACCTGTGTATATACGCATACCCTGGTCACACCCTAATGCAGGCTGATATTGGTGGCTTATTGGCGAAGCTAATTCAACCTTCCCGAATGGTCGGACATCTCGAAGAAATAAACCCATTTAGTTGGATCAAGCCTCATATGAATGATATATCCGAATATATTATAAGTTTCAATAGCTCTAAACTGGCTTAGCCTAAAAAGCGATCCCCATTTGGTAATGTGTCAAGTGTTCTACGGAAATCCATGGAGAAAGCTCAAATAAAAACAGCCAATCGGCTGAGGTCCACTTCCCAGTTTTATCTGTGGAAAGGTTCTATACATTTTTATACATGATGCTCGGCGTTGAGTGGGAGCATGTGGGGGTATCTTATCTATCAATTAAAATAAAAACGTGGGTTCCCGGGTTGAATCCGGCGAACCATGCAAATCGGAGAATCCAATGACTCAATTCGAGTGACGAGCTCAAGCTGTTGACTCGGCTGTCTTGGGCGCGACGTCCTCCGCGGTGACCTGCACCTCGTGGCTTTGCTCCAATTCAGACAGAACAATCCACGTGGGGACGAAGGCAAGTATCGTGATTCCAAAATTGAGACCGATGCTGACAAAGTGGTTGGCACCTCCCTCGGTTTGCATGGCCCATGCAATGGTTTGTCCCAGAGCCTCGAATCCACGCAGAATTCCGCAGTGGTAGGACAATGATGAAATGTCGGTGCTGTACTGGCCAACCAGCCAGTAGAGGAATTGCTGGAAGGCGAGGCCACTGAAGGTCCAGAAGAAGACAAGCGCGTACGCCTTGTTGAAGTCACTTGTGAACCAGTCGAACATCGGGGGCTCAGGTGCGTCGTAGTACTGTTTCTGCAGGATGGTAGCCCAAATCCACGTGCCGATGGTCAGGGCAACGATGGAGCAGAAAGCGATTCTGGCACGGGTCTTGATGAAGATGGATTGGCGGTCAAGCAGCAGAGCCATGAGGAACGAAGACGCGATTCCGGCGAAATTAGTGAGGAAAGATGAGAATGCGCGAGATCGGACGGTGAAGTAGGTGGTCAGCCAGGTGCTCTGGAAGCCGTTGTAGAAGTAGCTGATGAAGAAGGCTGGGAGGAGTAGGAGGACACGGCGAGTGAAGATCAGAGAAAAGGCAGCTTTGAATTCCTTGGCCCAAGTTTCTTTCTTGTTCACAACCACAAGAGAGTGGTCCTTGCGCTGGACCTTCTCGGCGGGACTGAGTAGGAGCGAAATCGGCAGACCGAGACACATGATGACAATGAAGACGATGTAGGTCGAAGCGCTGACTGTTCCCTTTTGGGAGCCCTGTGCATTCAGTCCCAGACTGATTGCACCGCCGACAATCGGACCGGAAGACTTGGCGGTCTGCCAGACAGCAAGGTAGAAACCGCGCTCCTTGGGACTGGGATAACCAATGATGATAGCGGCCTCGGCAGCCCAGAAAAATCCAGCTGAGATACCGCACAGCGCGGAGCCGAAGAGCAGAAACCATGTCGTAGGGTGGTAGTTGTTAGTGTACAGACCGGCACCGTAGATCGGGTAACCGATCGCACCGAGGACCAGACCATAGCGAAGACCAATGCGGTTGTTGATTGCACCAGCGGCGATACAAACAACAGCGAATAATCCGTAGACCAGAGCGTTCGCTGCGGAGACAGCGTAGGGCTCGGCTGCACCACCTGCTCCAAGGTTGTTCAGTGCATCCCACATTCCAGGGGCGGTGAACGAGACACCACTAGCAACGGCAATTTGAAAGGGAATGGAGCGGTACCAAGACGACCGAGACCGGGTGATCGTCTGAGAGTCATCGTGGGTATGCTCAGAAGTGACTTCTGACTCGACGTGAGGGGCCATGATAAATGTATGCCCTCAAGAGTCCCTTCCTCATATACAATGGTAGAATAATAGACGAAAAGAAAGAACAAGGATGTGAAAAAGATATATCTGATAAAAAAACTAAATTAAAGGTGGGTCCCCCAGATGTCGTGCTTGATGCCAAGATCTTTCAAACCCCGGCAGATGCAAAACTTTCGCTCGATCGCCACGTTTTCACCACGTTTTTGATTAGCTTCGGCACTTGGCCGGCTCAATAACCCTATAAAAGGGCATCTATTCTGGGGTTTTCCAGCTCGGACCCTTTTTATGTTGCATGTCACGAGGCAATTCAGTGCTCACACATTAGAGCACAATCGCTCTTCTCGCGCATCCCGATGCACCAGAAATGCAATCAAGCCAACGCTCAAGAATTGTGCGATAGTGGTGACCAGATTCGAGACCAGTCCCGTTCGAAAGATTGCGGCAGAAATAGCTGGATACTGAAAGACCTGTGTCTATGCTGCCATGGCCTGGCCGATCGCATTCATGCTTGCCGTGACAATAGCGCGTTCCTCAGCATCCTTGGCCATGGTGACAGTCGCCCAACTCATACTGAGCGGACTAATTGCTGTGACAAGAGTCAATATCGCCTTTTTAATATGAGAAATGACAAATAACACTAGAGAGCCTGTATGAATGTATCTAGACCCCACATACCGCCCTCGAATCCAGTGAGGATGAACCCTAGCAGTCGCCCTGTTTCCCCGACATTATAGACAACGAGCAGAATAACACCGAGCAGGACGGGAATGCTGGTCGCCACGGAGGGAATCCAGAAATTTCGCAGGCGATCGGCGGTAACACCCGCTCCTAGTGCGGATACGACGGATAGTGCTGTTGCGATTGTCGGCAATGTGTTCACCCATGAGACGGAGTAGGTATCTGGTTTAGCCTTGAGATATAGGCTAAAGGGTGTCGAGTATGGTGTGAAGTTCTGGTCCATTAAGGTCTAATGCACGACAAGGGCATACCAATGCCATCGTCCGAAGACTCGCTTGAAGATGCCGCGGGAGACTTTTAGTTCGCTTAGACGAATCTTGGCAATCTCGTGCTCGGTGGCAGTTAGGAACCGTGGCTTTGAGCGGTGAGGAACTTTGGGAAAATGATATAGCCACTACTCTATGTTAGATGAATGAACCAGTGTACAGCCCCGAGGTAGGATATGACTTACACAATGCAAATAGGAATCGTGATAAAAGTGCAAATAATGAACAATCATCCGCCAACGGGTCAGTGCCAAGGACAAAGTCCTTCATACATTATTGGAGTCAAATACGTCCCAGGCAATCCATGCTTCCCTTCAAATTCGTAGAAGCAGCAGCCTGCAAGTAACCCGCGAACATAGTCCCAAGTGGAGAAGCGACAAAGAAAAAGCGCAACCCGACGCGTCACCTCGCCGGGCTTGTACCACGACCCGATGACATACTTGACGCCGGTGAAGGAGCAAGACTCGCAGATCCCGATGAAGAAGCGCATTGCGTATATCGTATTCGGATTCTGCATTCTGCGCCCAAGCACAGCCGAACGCGAAGAGTCCCATCCGATCTCCAGGGTTGGCAACGCAATGTTAATTGGTGTGCGCGTTAGCCCTAGCAGGCCGGTATTGCAATAGGAGGTCCAGAATACCGCGGTCATGTAATTCAATTCGTTGCCATGCAGGTTGATGTCTTCTTTCATCCCTCTATGATTCGTTGTTAGTAACCGGGGTTGTCTGCTAGCCTGGGAGTACTCCGACATACGATACGTAGGCATTGGTGAGCGCCTGCTGGTCAAGGTATTTGGTGAATTTCATTCGAATGAAATTCGAATGAAAGCCAGCGAAAGACTAGAACCATAATATCGAGTTTGACGACCAGCCATTTCTCTGGGCGTGACACGTCCATATTTGGTATACGTAAGGAATCGAAGCCATAGTCCATATTGTGGCCCTGGATCGGGTTGGACTTCATGATCGGATACTTCATGAGTCGACTTGGTATCAATTGCGTGTAAATCCTCCATATTTGAGTGCGTACGGGATGTTCAGCTGGATGCGACAATCCAAGTATCTATATTACAGTGATCATCCATTGCTTGGGGGTATTCTCTTTATTTTTCTCACATGTTGTTATTCTCAGCTGGGCGCGAGCCTTAATAATGGAAGATGCGACAATTATCACGCCTGATGGTGTCATCCGTGCATCTCTGCACTCCGCACCTGCTGCTTCATATTGCGGAGAAATCACGAATCCCGGAGACTGGCCGAGTCTGACATGCGCTCTCATTATTGGTAGCTGACCTCGGGACATTGACACCAGCTTATTTTGAATGATCAGATTCATAATTTGAAAGGAACTTGGAAGAGGTGAGGATTAGGTCTTGCATTTAGCGGTTAACTCGGAAAATGATCGACAAGGCCCAGAGTAGGTAGTCGGGCTGAAGTATGGAAGATAAGAAAATGAAGACGAAATTTCAGAACTGTCATGATGTGTAACGCTTGATGTGTATCGATGTGAAGGAAAAACCCCAAAATATATGCCCATAATCATACAATATATACCTTTTCATCCTCAGCTCTTGATGTCGATCTTGTACTGCTCAGCCCAGAACGTGACATTGCTGTTCACAGAGTAGGCTTCTGTTCCGAAACTGAGACTGCCAAGGTAGTCGTCTTTAGCCGGGTAGTCACTCCCTCCAAAGTTGTACAGATCAGTGATGAGAGGATAAATGTCTCCAGTGAACCTCTCCGTCATGACGTCCGTGACCCAGGACAAAACATACTGTTCCTTGTCATTTTTACCGGTGTAAAGCGTGCTGATGACAAGACACGTTAGTGTATGCTCCTGAGATATGTCAGGTACAAGTTCAACTCTCAACTCACAACTTAGTTCCATCCAAGGTCCTGCTAATTCCTGGGTTCCCCCAACCATGGGGCTGGGCCTCCTCGTTTGACATCCAGAACCAAACCATGACTTCGAATTTCGCCTCACTTGCATTCTGAGATTTGTCTGCATCGGCGTCCAAGAACATATCAATGGCGACGTTTGTGGCAAGGTTTTCATTTTTCAACGCTTGTACATCCGTTGACTCGGCGGGCGTGTCACCCACTCCATATGTCCAATGTAGATCAAGATTCAACTCTGAGATCTGGTCTATCTCCTTTGGCAACACATTGTCGACGCGAATATTCGGGTATCCGTGGACGGGCGCAGTCTGAGGACCATGGTCGAATTGCCAGGTGATGGAGAACTCGGGAGCGGTCTGGGGTGCATAGGTCTGATTGACCAACGTCGTGACCTAAATCAAGATGACGCATTAGTACGCCTTCAGTAAGATTGCAGATGGGAATGTTCAATGCGTACGTTCATGCAGAGCCCGTTTCCTGTCGAGTCTGATGTCACGCCCCATTGATTGGGGTTCACTATAGTCTCAGTCAGTCGTCGTTCGACGGCCAACAGCACCTGTGCTGGTAGTTCGAGGGTACTCACGGGTGTATTGTTCAGTCTTCGACGGTGGAGTGATTCCATAAGAAAGATCGCAGTACAGGGTGTGCTGCACACCGTTGTTCGTGATAGTGTCATGACCACCGCCACCGCCAGTACTGTCGCCGCCATTGCTCATGCCATCGTCACTGTTCCCCCCGGTGAACAGAGGCTTCTGACCTGTAGCTGCTCGGTGGGCGTCGATGCCCAAGAGAGCCCCAACGCTTCCCCCAACAGGGATGGCCACAAGGACCGCATTGACCAGTAGTCCTACTCCGAAGACCATGACCAAAAGTGAGAGGCGTGCGAAGGATAAAGCAAAGAAATAAACGATGATAAGCAAGTGGAAATGATAAGTAGCTTGAAAATGAGACAAAGAAGGGGGAAAAAGGACCAGCAAATTAAACGAATCAGCAAATTAAACGAATTAGCAAAGGCGAAATTCTCGGTATCACATCCTATGGAAGATGTGGATGATCGGGTGGATTGGAGCGATGCATCGGGTTAGCATGTTTAGGGCGATCGGAAGTAAGCGTTGGCCATGCAAAATCTTGGAGATAAGAAAAGGGCGAGTGGGGTGTTTTCCAAGTTTAGCGTGGTAATGGTGTGGTCATGCACATACATTGTACAGTAAATTACAGGATCAGGTACAGATCCGGTACAGAGCGACAGAGCTCAGGTACGAAATTCAGGTACAGAACCACATAATGTAATTGATACATTATGATTGGTCCGATTAAGTGGCAAATTTGTAGAGATGAAAATGGAAACATGGTAATATTACTGAAAGGGAAATAAAAAGAACGGAAAGAAAGAAAAGACCCGCTTGATGCAAGCAGAAAAATACTGCAAAGTCAGACACATTGCGTAAGAAACCACGTCGGAAGTGAAACATAATGTTGGAAAAATCCATGAAAATCTATTTTTGCTCGCGCCTCCGGCCCAAAGCGGCGATACATCGGGTCCTTGGCGCGCACTAGCCTCAGGGCTTAACCATCTGGTCCCTTCGAGATCGCCGGTCCCGGTACTAAAATACTAGGAATGTGAGACCTTTTCTCTTCCATCCTTCCATTCCAGCTCTTCGGGCTGATCACACTCGTTTTCAGCGTCTTCAAGATCCTGCATTCCTCCAGGGCTCGTCTTTGGCTTTACATAATCTATAGCTTTTCCCGTCAAAATGGACAGACGTTATGGTCATGACGATCAGGACGAAAAGGTAGAGCTGAATACCTATCGAGGCTACCATCCAAACAACAGCTTCGAACATCCAGAGCCTTTTTCGCCCTCACCAGTCTCTCCAAGACCTCTTACTCCAATCAGACCAGGTCATTTCCCTACCGATGAGTACGGCCAACCTGTTTGGCTTCAAAGTACCGCTCGAATGTCGGGTCACTCCGATTCCTTTCACAACTCGTCCTGGGACTCACGGACACCGTATGATTCCAGGTCGGCTTCACCAAGTCTAGTTAGTACAATATTTTCTTTGTTCTCTTTGTTCTTGGTATAGATCACAGCCCTAACAAGTTCCTCCCATACAGTACCAAAACCATGGAGTACAAGAAAGCCACCAGAGTCTTGCTCCCCTAGTGACCTCGCCTGCTCCTCCATCATTTGAAAAGGATTGGGTCAAATCTGGATCGATTGCTCGCATTCATGACCGTGATGATGCAGAGACATGGAAAGGGTGGAAGAGATGGGTGTTCTTCCTAGTACCATTTCTCACATTTGCCAACACCGGAATCTACTTGTTCTACCTTGGTCTGAGAATCGCCTGCATTATTATGGCTCAAAATGTTGCCGGGGTCTCATACGCTGGAGCTTGGGTCTTTGTGGCCATTGAGATTACTGTTGCGATCCCCTCCCTCATGCACAACTGCTGGACTATGATGGCTTTGAAGAAGAGAGGCCGTGCCAAGCTGAGATTGACCGGCGGTGAATGTCCTACGGTGGATGTTTTTATTACTTGCTGTGGAGAGGATGATGAAGTTGTTATCGATACCGTCCGTGGTGCGATTGACCAGGACTATCCCCGCGACCAGATGAGGGTCATCATCCTGGACGACGCCAAATCTCCTACCCTTGAAGCAGCCTGCAACAAACTCGCCTTGAATCACCCCAACGTTATTTATATGGCCCGTGAAAAGATCCCGGGAAAGCCCCATCACTTTAAGGCGGGTAACCTGAACTACGGTCTAGAGCAAGTCAACCTTTTGCCTGGAGGTGCCGGCCAGTTCATGGCCGCCCTGGACGCTGACATGGTAAATTACAAATACCCAGTCTACATTGAAATTGAAAAATTTTATACTGACTGACGCTCCGCAGATTCCCGAACAAGATTGGCTTCGAGCAATTCTTCCCCACTTGCTGGTGGATCCCAAGATGGCCCTTGCATGCCCGCCGCAACTTTTCTACAACACCCCTGCATCCGACCCGCTTGCCCAGAGTCTGGATTTCTTCGTGCATGTTATTGAGCCGATCAAGGATGCACTCGGTGTGGCTTGGTGCACTGGATCTGGTTACGTCGTTCGACGCGAGGCTCTCGAAGAGATTGGCAACTTCCCGCTTGGCTCCTTGGCTGAAGATGTCGCGACCTCAACACTCATGCTTGGCAAAGGATGGAGAACCGCATACATCCACGAGCCTCTTCAATTTGGTACCGTGCCGGAAGACTTTGGTGGACATCTCAAGCAGCGTACGCGATGGGCAATTGGAACCGTCGATACAGCTGTCAAGCTGAAGTTCTGCCTCTGGGGTGACGCCGTTCGACAGATGACCGCTGCTCAACGCTTCTCTGGCTTCCTCTATGCAACTCTCAGTGTCTACACTCTCCTGCTAACCGCTTCCCTCTTTGCTATCCCGGTCATCCTCTTGTGGGGCAAGCGCCTCGTTGCCTTCGCGACCGAAGAGCAACTCCGCTGGTTGATTTGGGCCTGCTTCGCGGCAACCATCTCCAACCGTCTCTGTGAAATGGCCCTGTTCATCCCGGCCGGCTACCACACCGGCCAACGAGGCTCTCGCTACCAGCTTTGGATGTCGCCCTACATCGCTCTCTGCATTGTGCGTTCCTTCTTCCTGCCCACCTGGCTGGGCGGTCAAACCCAAGCCTTCAAGCCGACGGGTTCTCTGGGGTCAGCTCTGAACGAGCGCGACCCAAAGAAGTCCAAGAACATGTTCGTCCGCCTGCGCGTGATCCTGCTCAACTACATGGCCAGTTTCCACCTTGCCTTCGTCTACGTCACCCTCGTCGCAGTCGTCATCTCTTCTTACCGCTGCTTCGCCCAGAACAGTAGCTTCAGAGATATCATCCTCTGCCTCATCACGCACGCTTTCTGGCCCCCGCTTACCTTCCTTTTCATCTGCACTTCGCTGTGGACCCCCGTCTCCTATGCGATCGATCCCCCAGCCATGCCAGAACGTGAGGAGCTTCTGACGCGCGACCCTAAAACTGGTGTGGCGCATCCGACGAAAAGGAGTAAAAAGATCGCCTTTGGTGGCCAGGCCGCCTGGTTCGAACTCGAATACACGGTTGCCACCGTAGCCACGATCTTAGTATTTGTCTACTCGTTTATGTTCTAATTTTTATGATTTCCCAGATGCGACTTTTTGGAAATCTGTCTGCATAGCTGCCTGTATAGCTAACGTGTCACATGGTTGAATTCTGATCCTTTTTATCTCTCGCGTTATATGTACCTATATACGGAGTACATCCTGAGTGGCGTTAAGCTTTGTGACTTTCAGGTGTACAATGTACTGTACTGCATTGCATAATTGGTCTTCGTTATACGGAGTACATGAAATACATATGTTGATCAATTCAAAAATAAATGACCTGTCGCCCCTATGTACGGAGTACTCCGTACATATGTAAATATTCTGTGATGCATACAAAACGCATACATATGTACCTCCATGTCGATCCCTCTCGGCCAATCGCCTCCAATCATCTCTAAGCGCCGATCTAATTTCGGACCGACGCGGGTGCGTTGCCTAGGTTATCTACCAATTTGTGCATTTGCCAGCGGAATACCCCGTACGGAGTACTCCGTATGTATGTATGTACTCGGTATTAATTAATTCTGCATTGAGGCCCGACCACCCCATTTGCCGTGTCAAAGTATGTTTCCCTGCTTCATCGCTTATCTGCCATTGATCGCCAATGCGTTTTGACCTGGCACTTTATCGGACATGTTCTTTCGATAGGAGCTATCAGTGTCACCGCTGTTTTGACGTTGCTTGGACTAGTGCTTACGAGATAATGGAAAGCTTGATGCGAGACTCATTGGGAATTTTGGTTGAGATAATAACTTGGATTCCCTTGTATTCATTTGATAGGACAAGGGTTCGTTACTAGCTCGGACGTTAGCAAGCTCTTTGTTGGTCTCGACCCCTCTAATTGCCAAAGTACGTCAGGCCATTTCTCCCTTGAGACATCCTTTTCATTGCCAAATGAATTTCTTTTCTTTCTGAATCATTGTGAATCAACCAGGTTCGGTCGAGGAACCCTGCTCTGACCCTCATGCAACAAAAGGTGAACAATATTGGTTGCAAAAGCCAACCTTTGAACGATCGCGACCCCTGTTACTTCTCGTGACTACTTGTCTGGCGCCGGCGATGCCGGAAATGAATCCTACCATGCCTCCTGGGTATTTCATTGGATTCTTATAGCAGGCTCTCCACGTACCCCGGGTTCTAACCCCATCATCTTGGCGACCAACACTTCCATTTAAGGTATGTGAAAACCGCCGGCGTGGGTCGGTTTTACCCCGAACCGTTAACGGTTCGGGCTTTATCAGCTGCCCGTCTTGCCACATTACAGGACTCAAGCGCTCCTTTTGAGGAGAGGTGTGGTTGATAGGCTTCAAGCCACTCGGTCCGGTTTGCAGTCTACCGGTCACCTGATCGGTCTTCAGGTATATCTCCCGCTAAAAATGGCAATCTGAATACAATCAGCCTCCAACTATGTCATGGGACTCGGTTTCGAATGCCCAGATCCGGGTTCTAGTCGGATGGATTGTACCAAGCCCCGTGGTTCATGAGTTGGCTGTTGATTGTGATGGCTATTTAGAAGAGTAGACGTCGCCAGCTTCAAGTTTAGTCCATAGCAACTTCACAGTACAATTATCACAGAGACTTCAATCTCAATCTTCTTACTATTCCATTAGAAAGATATCTCTTCTAATTGTGTCACAATGTCCTTCCTGAGGAATTATTTCGGCACCTCCGCCGCTCCAGCGAAGGAGGAGAAGAAGCCTACCCGTGCTCTGCCCGCCTCCTGGTACACATCGCAAGATATGTACGAGCTCGAACGACGAGCCATCTTCTCCCGGAAGTGGCTTCTTACTACACACAAGCACCGAGTCCCAAACACTGGTGACTTTGTTCGCTACGACGCCGCAGGCTACCAGTTCGTCGTCGCCAAAGACAGCAACGGAAACATCACCGCTTTCCACAGCAACGATCTCTTCCCCGCGCATGTGCACATCGACCGAAACGGATTCGTCTGGGTCAATCTGGACGCTAGCGAAACCCCCGAAGTTGCCTGGAAAGACGACTTCGACGGTGTCGACGAGCAGCCCCGGTTCGAGCACTACAACTTCGAGGACTACGTCTTCGATCACACATGGGATATGGAGGGCGAGTTCAACTGGAAGATCTTAGCCGACAACTACAATGAGTGCTACCACTGCCAAGTCGCTCACCCCGACATCCCCACAATCGCCGATCTCAACTCCTACTATGTCAAGACCAAGGACGGCCACATCCAACACTACGGCGCCCCGCGACCAGACCAGATCGCGAAGGGCTTCCGCATAGCAACTACCTATTTCTGGCCTAATGCTTCTTTCAATATCTCGTGAGTATATGATATCCCTCTCACCAGATTCTATTAAACTAACATCAAATCTCCCAGTCCCAACTTCTTCTTCATGCAGCGATTCACCCCTACCAGTCCGACCCAATGTGTCATGCGGTACGAAGTCTACCGCCACAAGGACGCCACCGATGAGGCCTTCAACCTCATCAGCGACATGTACAAACGAATCATGTCGGAGGATAAGTACCTGTGTGTGCACTCGCAGAAGAACCTCAATGCTGGTGTCTTTGTCAACGGCCAGCTTCACCCGGAGATGGAGGCAGGCCCGCTCCATTTCCAGAAGACCGTCCGTGACGTCGTCACAGAACACTTTGCCAAAGAGGAGGCTGCGGGGCATCAAATCTGGCCTGCGAAGCATACTCTTCCTGAGGCTATCACCCAGGATCAATATGCGCACTACGGTGTCGAGGTCGACACTTTCAAGAGCCCCATGGGTACCGGTATCTCCACGGTAACGGAAATCGCTGTGTAGAGCTGGTGAGTCGGCAAGACAGAATCCCATTTGATATATAGATTGATATTGCGTTCCCTTTTAATATTGTGTTGACGATAATGATTATGCATGTATGTGGTTTGTTTGGAATTTAGCCTTGACAGAATGAATACTATATATATTTCTTCAACATACCATATTCTGAATCAAGTCTATTTGGCTAATAATTAAATTCGTATGTATACATACTCCCGCAGGGAAAAAAAGCAGGTCAATCAGCCCAATCGACAAGGAATTCATCCAGTAAATCATAATTAACCCTCTCCCTCTCCCTCCGTCCGCGAAGAAGATCGGCAGCAATATCAAACTCGGACTCAGGACTAGAAGGACTCTCTGGCGACGAAGCACGACTCAGAACATTCAAATGTCGAACGCCATCGGTATTTCCCAGTTTACCACCCCCAACAGACCTGGTATTGGCTGCTATCTCAGACTCGAAATCTACCAAATCAAACCCGAACCCGGGCTGTCTCTTTGCGTCATGTACTTCATGCCCACGATCCGGTCCCAAAATATGTTCAGCACCGAATAGAGACGAACCATACCCAGGAGCCATGGGATAATGATAGGGCTCATGCGATGACACAGACTCAGACCTAGTCGTCCGACTATCACTATGATCAACCGAATCCAAGCTCCGCGGCGACCACGGCAGTCTCTGTTCAATCGAGTCCTCGTGCACGCGATGTCTACTCGCACGCACATAGTCCGGGTCACGGCATTGTCGATGTTCACAGCCATCCGTCAACAACTCCGTAAGAAGGACGTTTAACTGCGCCAAGCGCTTGGCCTGTCTAGCCGGGATGGAGTCCGATTTCCTCTTACGGGAGGTGCGTGCGCCCATCTGCGTTTGTGTGCGCGTCTGCGCCTGCGTTGGCAATTCCCTCTTCCTCAGTCCGCGAGACTCAAACGGCGACTGGCCGGCTTCAATCTTCAGCGTCTCTTCCTCGTCGTAGGCGATAGCGGGCTTGAACCCGATGCCGTGGTCGATCAGGACCTGGTGGAGATAGTCCACGCGGCTTTCTAGGAAGGCTACGTAGCTGCGTGGTACTTCTTGCTTGGTGAGGGGGTCGTAGCCCACGCAGCGAACGCCGGCTTTCTCGCATGACTCGCAGCGAGGAAGGCGTTGGTCGCAGCGGTGTTTGCGGAGACGGCATCTGTTGCAGGCGGAGACGCTGCGGAATGGAGGGGCTGAGGGTTCGGTGGTTGGTTGGCTGGTTGGTTGGCTGGTTGGTTGGCTGGTTGGTTGGCTGGTTGGTTTGGGCTTTGGGTTTTGTTCTGATGTGAGTGGTGAGGTTGAGAGGCTTCTGCGGCTGGTTTTCATTGAGCTTTTGGAGTTGGGATATTGGCTGGTCCGTATGTTTTCTAGGCGTATGTTTTCTAGGGAGGATGGGGCTGGGGATGGGTGCTTCAACATTGTGTAGAATTGAGCTTCCAAGGATATATTGAAGTAAGAAAAGACAATATTCTTAGCTATCAAGCTGCTATTATAGATTAGTGTATCGCGATTGAACTCCGAGAATAGGTCCTTCAGTATGTCTGATAAAGTTCGAACTCCGGTTTTATTCCGGAAGTCTGTCCCAACTCCGAATGGGGTCTTTATCTGGTCTTGGGGTAAAAGACGTTGGTATCTAACTAGTCATAACTAACAACTAGTTAGTTAAGCTATAAATGATTATAAACCTGCAACCTATTTATGTCTACTATTCTAACTCGCTTTACCTCCGTACTCTACAAAATAGACCCTATCGGCCGAATGCGGAGACGCTACTTGAAACCACGATAAGGGGATATACGATGACCCCGACGCTTAGAATCAGTGAATTTGCAGATATTTCCTTTGAACTAACCATCTCGGCTTTCGGCTTAACACGGAAAGCGCATCAAATACCGGCAATTGATCCCCGCATTCCTTCCAGAGTACGGTAAACAGTGTGACGCCTATCTCAGTTAGTACTAGTACTGGAACTATTGTAGGTCTTTTCCGAGTTCTCCCGTCTGATATCAGCAATGACTCTACATCTTGAACACGAAGAAATTAGTGCAAGTGATAATGTTGAACAGTCATATAGGGAGCACATATAGATATCCATTCACGGGCTTGGGATTACAAGCAACATCAATTGAACAGACATTGCTGTAGCCCTAGATACATGTAAATGCCCCCCCTCGGTCATATAAGCTTCCATACTGTGGGGAAAAGCCTCCTCTTTACCGATCTCTTCAAACTCTTCCCAATTTGCCAATCCAATCGAGTAATCAGAATCAGCCGGCATTCTTCGCGATGGAATATGACAACCAATTTATACGTCCACTCAATCATAACGCTGATCCGGTAATTCAGGCCGAAGTGGTTTCCCACTAGCAACCTGAGGCAACTCCTGACAGAAACCAGTCGGGTCGGTACCATGTATCTCACTTATATGCATGCTTGAACCTTGCTGTTGTTGCATTTCCGTCCCATGAGAAGCTACCATGCTAGCTGCAGCCTGGTGGCTTGCTTTCAATTGCCTAGCTCTCAGCCAGACCAGTGCAGCCATTGTGACTAGTATAGGGACGCCTATCCCAACTCCGAGTCCGAGTGCAAGTTTTGCTGTCATTGTGAGTCCTGGGGGTTGGTCGGTCGGGCTGGCGGCAGTATTAGAAGAATCTGACGATGATGCCAAAGTTGAATTGAGTGGGATTGTTGGGGACGATATTGAAGCGGTAGTCGTTTCAGTCGATGATCTTCTCGTTATGTTGAAATAGGCCGAGGGGAAACCGCTTGGTCCAGACGGGTTGACCCAGAAGAAAAACGTGGGTGAATAATCCAGATCGAAGCCGTAGAGTTGCACAGTCCAGGTGAAGTTGGACACAGGATCCTTTTCGTTGATTTGGGCTGGCTCTTGTCAGTCTTGCGGTTTGTTCTCGGTTCTTCCCTCTGGCATACCGTATACGTTGCCTCGACTGTAGGCGCTTCCCCCCAATGGACTCTGCTGCCATATTGATACGTTGAAGACTGGTAGGTCTGTTTTCCATGCAACCACTTTCTGGTCACCCAATCTCCAAACAGGACTTTTTCCCTTGATGTAGACAGGGTTGATCATATAATTTGTCTTTTCGGCTCCGTTGACTGTCTAAATGAGGCCTGAGACAAGGATAAAGAGGGGCTGAAACAAGCGTATCATACTTTCGGTCTTCGACAATGATATGATAGTTGGATGTTGTCAGAACTTCATGGTTATAGTCTACGGGTGAATGACGGACACGAACGCGCAGACTTAATGTAAACAAGATTCAGAGTCCCTACTCTAGGTGATACGCATTATTACGATTAGGACCGGTGGAATCAGGTTCAAAGCCTCGTAAGCATGCATATTGAAATGCACTAAACCGCCAAAGGAGACTAGAAAAGGAGACTAGAACTATGCCTCCTCGACCGAATTGAGAGGCATGATCAGCAAGTCTGATCGACACAGCCTAATTTATGTACAGCAGAGTAGCCAGCGGGGTAAGAGGATCTGTTGATTCGCTTCTAAACAGTCATCTACTTGGATTACGATAATCGTACAATTTTGTAACTGTATATTATTGTCTCCGTGAGGTATTACGTTTCAGTTCGTCGTCTCTGCAGATCCAGATACTTGGCAGCATAATCATTAGCCAATACTGGATCGCCCGTAAGATGCATAACAGTAGCCTTCTTAGCCATCATCTCCGTCTGGCCCTTGATATCCTCAATTTCCTCGAAATGGTCATACGCCGAATCAATGTACCCAAGAGCACGGTTAATATACTCTTTTCTCGCAGACGTCGAGTCCCGGCCCTTCAAGCTCCACAACTCACCCGCCATACCCATATTCGCGTCCACAAGAAGTGAATACGCCTGCGCGATGAGGCTGTAATTTTCCGACTCCAGTATCTGGGGCATGATGCTCTCGACTAATTCGCCCGTCGCTTCGAATTCACGGAGACTCAGTAACACCGTTGCTAGTGTGCAGATTGCTTCCCAGAGGTCGGCGAGGACTTTTGAGCGATGTGCGATATTGGCTGCGCGCATGGCGAGGGAGAAGCCGCGTTGCGGTTGACCGGACTTGCCGAGGATCTGTGCTTTTAGACAGAGGAGCTTGATTTGGGAGTGGACGTCGAAGTTCTCTGGTTGCATCGAGTACGCGGCTTGCTCGACCATTCTCAGGGCGCGGCCGTAGTCGCCTTGGCGCATGGTAAATTCTATTGAATAGAAGGCTAGAAGTAGACGCATGTCGAAGTCACGGAGTTGCACTGCTTGGAGTTGGGATAGAATGTGTTCGACGGCCACTTTGTCGTCTCTGTAGGTTATTAGGAATGGATCTGTAAGAAGTAATATGGTATGGGGTACTTACCGACAGATTTGTCGTCGCAGTTGCAGTAGCCCTGAAAGAAAAGTCCAGGTGTTGTTGTAACTGAAAGCTCGGAGCTTCTCTGGGTCGATCTTGTTCATCCGTGTGAGTGCTTCCTTGTAATTGCCTTTCTGTGTCAGCTGTAGGTGATGTATCAGCATTTCTGTCATACAAGTCCAGAGAAAGGCAGTCGACATACTACTTGGCAATTTCGGAATGTGATCTTGACGAAGTCATCGTGGGGTTGGCCCTCCGAATAGCACTCGCGGAAGATCTCGGTGTTCAGCCAAGAAAGGTGAGTAGCTCCTGTCAGCTGTATTAGCGCCATCAAAATTACTATGCACTTAGTGTCATACCTATCCTGGCGTACATGGAGCCCTGTAACAGCATATATGCACCTGTGGGAGTCGCAACGCCCTTCGTCACATTGATGTGGGATGCTCGCACGAAAGATTCGACAATTGATGCAAGACTCTCTCCCTGTTCAGAATTAGCATCAACCTAGTCAAAGAAGCAGGAATCCTTACTTGCTGCATCTCTAACTTAGCTTCGCTAAGTAATGTGGTACTCATGAGAGACCACATATCAGTCTCCTTGGACTTTGCCTTGAGGAAAGCAAGGCCTTCTTTTTCATTACCCAGCATGCCACTATTCTGGACTTCCCGCATCTGCTCTGGGAAGGCTTTGCCAAAGTGATAGAGCCAGCTCATGCAGAAGTTCAGGCAGTTCATATCATGAGACTCGCGAGCAATTGCTACGGCCTCTTGCACGGCTGAGATAGCTTCACTGAAGCACTCAAAATCTGCTTGCATGATAGCCAGGTTCAGAAGGGCAAATTGATATGCACTTCGGTCGAGATTCGCGTGCATGGTGTAGTCGAAGTAGCGGTGGAGATTGTCGAAGGCTGAGGTATAGTCTCCAGCCCTCCAGGCGTCAAGATATCTGGCATTTTGTCAATCACAAAGTACATCGAAAATGATATATAACAACGTACTCCAGGTAATACATCATTACTGGGACTGAAGACTCTGAGGTCATGATGCGTTTCAGCTGAGCCCTCATCCCATCCGGAACTCTGCTTCCCATTCCTGTGTCCGTTAGCATATGGGCACGGCAAGCCGGAAAAGTATTGCATACTTTGCAGTTCACCGACTTGGAACTCGATTAGGCGCTCTGCATCCTTGACGCTGACTTCTCCCTCCCCATCCTCATCATCTTCGACGTTGCCATACACCACCTGTGAAAGGTGGCTGGTGGCATCCAGTCCTAGGTCGCGTAGATTTACATCAACAGCGACTTCCTCAGCCTCGCGATGCCTACGACTCCAGTAGCCGTAAGTCGGTAGACGATATTTGACAAATCCCGCCCAGAGCTTCACAGAATCGTGAAACTGCAGCCGCGTATATTCAAGATACGCTCTCCGTACGAACGCGCCAAGCGGCGAACTCCTGGACAAGCGCATGCGATCATCTGACACTGGTGCAATCCCATTATCCCTGTCATGGATCAGCTCGTCGCGTGATTTAGCCAGCAGCGACGGGATAACCTCGCCGAAGAAAGTTTCCAGCGCATCCAGCGAGTCGATGCACCAGAGCTTCTTCAGAAACAAGTCCCAGAGCGTGCGCCCAGGAACAGAGGACTCATGGCGAGACAGGCATTCTTCAAGCGCTGAAATTGTCGGCAAGTAATGCTCCTCCCATTGCTTATCGGCGGCATCTAGTGGGAACAGACCCGCTGTGAGGAACGAGAGGACGTCAATAGCAGAAGTATTGGGCACGACGCCTTCAGTGTAGAGGGTGACTAGACACAGCATAGAGACTCTCCAGGGAGTCAAATAACGCGTCATTTTGCCTTAGCTATGGCTGCCACATCTTGCGTGTCCTACCAACGGTATTGTTCCCAAGGGCGCGTGTTGGGGATCATTGATAGACACCTGAGGTTTCAAGGCTGCAATGCGGGACAGGAAAAAAAAGATGACGCAGAACGACTTTCCTCCGCAACTCACCAATTGAACGATTTCACAATGGCTCAGGCTCTGACAACCACAGATTTGCAAGGTGCCTTGCCCCTTATCGCCAGAGGCAAGGTCCGCGACCTCTATGAAATTGACGATAAGACCCTCCTCTTCGTTGCGAGCGATCGCATCTCCGCCTACGATGTGATCATGGAGAATGTATACAATTCCCCACATCACACCTGTCTACTCAGACTGCTTGCTAATGCCAGTCCTTCTCCAAAATAGGGTATTCCTAACAAGGGTGTTCTCCTCACCCTCTGCACGCAAACGTGGTTCAAGGCCCTGAAGGAAGCAAACCCCTCCCTCCGCACCCACTTCATCACCCTCGACCTCCCGCCCCAGATCCCGGAATCACTCCGCCCAGTCCTGCAGAACCGGAGTATGCAAGTGCGCAAGCTACGCATTCTGCCCATTGAGGCAATCGTGCGCGGATACATCACCGGCTCGGCATGGAATGAATACAAGAAGTCCGGCACCGTGCATGGAATCAAGGTCCCCGCCGGTCTGCAGGAGAGCCAGGCCTTCCCCGATGGCCCTATCTACACCCCCAGCACTAAGGCGGAGCAGGGCGAACATGATGAGAATATTCATCCGGATCAGGGTACGTCCATTTCGTCGAATCTGCTGCCTTGAAATATCTGTACTAGATGTATAGTGCACGAGATAAGACCTCCTAACATCCGTCACAGCTGTCGTCATCCTGGGCGAACGCTACGCCTCGACCGTTGCCAAGATGGCTGTTGAGCTCTACAAGACAGCGCACGAGTACGCTCTGGCGCGTGGTGTGATCATCGCCGATACCAAGTTTGAGTTTGGAGTCGACGAAACTGGTGAGGTTGTGCTGGCCGATGAAGTCCTGACGCCCGACTCCTCGCGCTTCTGGCCTAAGGAATCTTACGCTGTCGGTCGTGGCCAGGCCAGCTTCGACAAGCAGTTTCTGCGTGACTGGTTGGTCAGTGAGGGTCTCAAGGGTAAGGAGGGTGTGCGCATGCCTGATGATATTGCGCTTAAGACGGCGGAGAAGTACCAGGAGGCTTGGGAGAAGATCACGGGCGGTACGATCTAGAGGGAGGTATATGGTTGACCCGCTATATGGAGGGATATAGATGATTGAAGACTATATTTTTGTATTTGTTTACGATTCGCGACGACAATGAAATCTAAGTATCATGTCTGGTTGTGACTGTGAAGGCAGCAGCCGGAATTATTATACACATATATGGCCTTATCTTGTCCTACCTTTACTCCTCCCACTCAGACTTCAACCCCTTGAGACCCTTGTTATTCGAAGCCCGATCCTGCTGCTTGCTCTCTTCCTTGATGGACTTCTCCTTGGGCTTATTAGACCAACCAGAGCTAATACCCTCATCAAGGGGCAGCGCATGGTCACCACAAATACGTCGCTCCTCTTCAACCTCCGCCTCACTAATTCCATTCGTCGCCCAGATCTTATGAATGCGTAGATCAAACGGCCCCTCAACACGGTCCGTCAGACCAATACCAATACTCTTAACACGCTGCCGAGTCAAAGAAGTCTGAGGCTCAATGACAAAGCCGTGGTTCGTGCGCACAAACGAGTTAAAAGGCAAGAGAACAGTCTCCCATCCATTTGAGCCAGATGTCGTTGTACTGGTAGAGGTAGAAATGATCGTCGATTCAGGTGGGACGTCTGAAAGCGCAGCGGGCAGGCCGGTAGGATATAAGTCCTCAACGGCATCGGGTGAGTCTGCCTGGAAGTCATAGTCCTCCTGAGATGTTGGCGTGTCGCGTACGCGGTGGTGTCGCGTGTATAGTCTGTGCTGGTGGATATCCGTCTCGACGACCGCGTCTGTCTGCACGTTGACGGTGTACCGGCGGCCGTCGGACTTGATGCGCAGGGCAAGATACGCGTAGGGATCAACGTCCCAGAAGAGCCGACCGAAGAGCCAGAAGCCTCGATCTTGGTTGCGGAACGCGGCGTAGCCTGGTGGCGGGTATTAGTTGTTTTCCTTTTTTTCCCTTTTTCCCTCTTTTCTTGTTTTGGCGTTCTAGACCACTTGAATGTGTCGCTACATAGGTAACAGTAGAAAACATACCGGTTCTTTCGACGCGCCAATTGTCAGGAAGCTTGGTTGAGATGCTACCGTGGAAGCGGGCATGCGAGGGAGTACTTGAAGAAGGTTCAGCAGGTTCGTACTCTAGGCTGGCTGTGCTAAAGCCTCCTACTGCGCGGTCGGCCATGGTCTTGCATCCTTTAATGGTGCTCTCATCTTCAAAATTCAGGAGGGTATAAGGTTTGGTCGGGGTGTGGAGGGCTTCCGTGTTCCAAGCTGCGGCAAATTAGTTGAGGTGCAAGACTGACGACATTGACATAACTTACCAATCTTCGATAGACGGCCGAACTCATCGGCGCTGCGTTTAAAGAATCCGCCTTGGGCTAAACGTCGAGTTGGAAACATATTGTAATTGTAATAGGGAGAAACCCAGATAGTTACGGAGTTGGAGTTAATATCAGCCCTGGAGATGTCGTCCGAGGTGGCGTGAACGGGCCGATGATAAGATAGTGTTTGGGATGTTTGGTCTCTTCCCTTCTTTTTATGCCCTAAACTTCTTCATTACTTCCTTTATACTCCTCCCTTTTTATTGTTTAATCTATGTAACTCCTGGTTCTACATCTCTCAATAATATACACGTCATTATGTTGCAACTTCAACTTCCAGGGATTCGGAATTTGGGATCCAAAATTCAAAATTCACGCTAAGTGCAGCATTTGAAGACATGAGCTTCCTTTGTCCCTGTTGAGCTTAGTACTGCATCAACTGCCATGCATATGCCGACGGCTGACGACATTCTGATCCTCAGGAGTATCTTGTATACTTTGCCAGGCCGACACCTGAATCGGTATGACGCGTATTCCCTCTTTCGGAGGGATATCCAGAGTTCATGGCCAACTTTATCTGAAGAGTCATGGGTAATATGCGCGGTAAACATCTTCATGAGGGCCCGGCTCCCACTATTCTCCTGGGTGTCCGATTGTGAACCAGTGGTTTGATGGTCTCCTGGACCGCAGAGCCCTGGTAAGCTTGATTGTGAGTCAACTTCCCTTCGGACTAATCTTGTAGAGGACTCCCCGGAAATATACCGTGGTTAGCTTCATATATACTTGTCCGTGCTGGGGAAACCTAGCCCTGAAAATCGGATATTTCCAAATTTATCCCAAAATGGCGACGGAGCTGGTGTTCATAGAGGATATCCCAGGTAGTTATCTCGATATCTCGTTCTCTTCTCTCTTCTTTTCCATACATTCATACCACGCTCGTTTACCGCAGTTGGACCATTCGTTTGCCGCAGTACAAACACTTAGTTATTCTCGTTGATTATATACCTCCACAATGGCAATTCAATGCGTCGAACAGAATCACTTTGAGCCTATTACCTGGATTAGTGCCCCGGAGCCTGATATCCCATTCTATGAACATACCGCTTCGGAATCTAGTGTCCCCGGATCTAGTAGCTCGGAGCCTAGTACCCCAGAACATACTGCTGCCAAGTCAGCAGAGCCAGTCAAGCCATCCAAGTTATTCGAGCCATTGGAGCTAGTCACAGTCAAACCAGTCAAGCCCGACCAGAAGAAGCCGGGAGAGGGAGAGAGGCCGGTATACCTCCCGCGTGCAGACAGATTGAATCAAAAGGCAACTAAGGGAAATGCACAGGGCCTCTTTCTTCCCGATTGTTGTGTTTTTGTGGGAAAGTAGGTATTGCCTAGTCCTATCTGATGTTATATATATTGACCGATATAGCCTCTCCGTTAAGGTTTCTCCTGAAAAGTTGGAAGAAGATCTTACAGAAATGATCTCTGCATTTGGTCGGTGTCATGTTAAGATCAAATTGTCCCAGGGTGTGAAGAAACTACCTGTTGGATTTGTACAGTTTGAGGTGAGTAACTGTTCTATATAATCTATATGATCTATGCCGTGGCATAGAACATACTAACATACTAAATAGGACACCAAAGCAGCAAATTCTGCATTGAAACAAAATGGAAACCTGATGCTCCATAATCGGGTGTTGAGATTGGAATCCTCCAAGGCAAGACGTGAGTTCCCTTTTTTTCGTTCTTCATCTGATGTGCCTTTACACCTCGCACCTTCGCACCTTCTCATCTTCACACCTTCTCACATTTTCTTTTAGGAACTGCCAACTTCGGCTATCTCTCTGATGCTCCCATCGAGAAATCTGAAGTCGTCGATGCCCTGAAGGGACGTGGTAGTCTCGAGAGCATATCTATTGAACACTTCGTCACCCCAGAAGGGGTCAACTCTACCTTTGGCGTTGTCACTTTCGCATACCCCGACGATTACGCAGATGCCCTCCAGGTAAGTCGACTGTCCAGTCTTGCTCTGACCCTACTAACCACTTGACCATTCTAGCATTTTCAAAACAACCCCGATTACTACATGACCAGATCCAACATGGATCCCAACAACGACAGTCAGCTTCCTCAGGATTACCCTCCTGCAGGACACAGGCCGTCTAACCAGCCTCCCCCAAATCGTGGCAATCAGCAGCGATACAACAATGGCCGCAGATCCTTCCACCGTCCATGGTACAGCGGTAGCAACAACAACAACAACAACAACAGAGGCGGATTCCGAAATGCTCCTGCTCCTGCCCCCAGACATCAAAACTCACCATTTGCAAATCATGGTCACAGTCAAAGCTTCAATGGTCAAGGCCATTCGCCTCACGGCTCTTTCCCTCAGAACTACCCCAGTGGCAATGGTTTCCCTCAGAACAACTTCAACCAGGGCTATCCCAACCCCAACTTCAATCAGAACTTCGCCAACAACTTCCACCCGAGCTATCAGGGCAACAACTTCCCCGCGAACTACCCAAATCAGAACTTCGTAGCTGCGGGTCCCTTTCCCAATTCCCCTGTTCTGTTCAACCAGATGCAAATGCCTGAAGGCCCGCCCCCGCCATATCATACCGAGTACACTGCTATGCCAGCCCCGGGTTTTCCTGTGTTCGTGGGCAATCAATCATACCAGCCTCCCAATACTCTTCCTCCCATCGTCACTCAGGCTCCCAATACTCTTCCTCCAATTGTCACTCAGCCTCAGCCTGTTGCTGGTCCTGTTCCTGGTCTTCGGCGAAAGCCCCCTCGTCCCGACTGTCCCTTGATTGTCTCCAGCCAGCCCCAATTTGATACCGAACATCACCGGCAACTCTACTATGAGCCCTACCCTGCTGAGGAACCGGTTGCAAATATGCAGGCAAACTGGGCCGGTCACCCTGGTGCTTATTTCGTGCAGCCTGACTACTACAACCAGCCTTACCCGCCCAACGCATATCGTCGCAGTCGCCAATCTAGCATGGAAAGTCAGCAGAACATCAATTCGCCGCCCAGGGTCAATGAATCCGAGTCGACCTTGACACAGACTAAAGTCGAGACCCCTGAGATTGAAAGAGGTCGCCAACTAGTTCGGCCGCACCACCCCGACACCGATGGAAGCTGTGACATGGCTCCAGTGTCTCCTCCTGCTAAAGCAAAGAGTGAACCCGTCTCAATGCAAGATGCGGATGGTTCCGCGGGAAGAATTAACATGGCATATGTGAGCAAATCCACTGAGGCTCAGGTCGAGCTCGCGGCACCTGTGACTATCGAGTCTGAAAACAAACCCACCAAGCCTGAAACTGAGCTCGTCCCGCCTCAGACCCAATCCACCAGTTCTCCAACTCATGATCAAAAGAAAAAGGAGTTGATGGATGAAACCAAGCCAGCATTGGAAATCGACACCAACGGTGAAGAAAGCACCGGGTCCTCCGAGGCCGGCCCCAAGACACCAGACACCGATGAGTCTCGGGAAGCCGCTAAATTTCAAACTCCGGCCAAAGCTGCCTCACTGAAATCAGCCGATACAAAGACCCCTGATACCGTCGAGACCCTCAAACCAGTCGATAAGGGCACTCCAGACAAAGGCAAGTCCCCTGAAGTGGTCACACCCACCCCAACCAAGAGTGGCAGCAAAAGACTCGAGCCCGCAGTGCCAGACGACAAACATCTACTGGCCCGCCATGCTTTCCAGCATCGCAAACCCCTCAAGAAAAAGTACCAGCCCAAGACCGACACCGGCAAAACAGTCGAGCAATACACCCGCGAGATCAATGCGCAGCGCGGCTCGATTGATCGTGACTCGCGTGTCCCTGAGCATCTCTTGCAAGAGGTGATTCAAGAGCTAGAAAATGAGCGCAGAGATAATATTCGGAAGAGCCGGGGTCTCGGCCCCAGTGATAAGAGCAGCGTTGACAGTGGCACTTCTTCGAAGAAGTAGGTTCGATATTAACTCATGATTAAAATGGGGATGGAGGAGGTTATCCGGTTTGATTTTCTTGCTATGACAGGGCGTTTTATTCTTATATTTCTTTACTCTTTGTTCCATGCTTTTATGGTCTGTTCTTTTTTATTCGAATCTGTGTGCTTTTCAAGGAAAAGGAAAGACCACCAAAAAATCGGAGCATGTATGTTACGATGAACATGCTCGATTCAGTTATCAAATTTCAAATTTTATTCTGCAAGCTTGCTCACTACTATCAGTAATCCAATGCATCGTATATCAATATTAGTTCTTAAGCATGGTAGTGTTGCTTGTAGTATGGTCAGTCACCTACCATAAGCTGCCCTGATGGCCATTGAGTATGAATATACAAAGACAAAGAGTGAAATGGCTAATCGATAATAATACGACTTGATATAATGGATTTGATTGATATGGCCGAGCGGCAATTTGATCCCCGCCCATGTAAACGCCGAGACCGAAAGCCGGTTTATATGTACAAAATGCTTCTCGATGGTTGCATGCCATAGATACCGAAACCGAATGCCAGTGGGGGATAGTGATGCACTCCGAACAAGAAGAAAAGAAACGCAGGAAAAAGAAGAAAATGGCAAATTTCCATATGCAAAACGCTCATGGTTAAAATAGATGGTGGGTTCGTGAGATAGAGAGGATATGCTGTGATGATGGCAGGAGGTGAAGGTGAGAATGGAGAAGTGATAAAATATGAAAAAGACAACGGTGCGAGTAAAAGCGGAGGGAGGGACATGACGAGGAAGATACATATAGGTAAGGGAAGGAGGGTGTAAAGTATGAATAGGAGTGTGACCTTTCCTAAGGAATTAGTGATAAGACTGATCAAGCTCTCACACGTCTAGCATCGAAAAAGCCCAGATTGACAGCTGTATCATTGACGCCCAGGAACGGTGCCGCATCCTCGAGTAGTTCCCAAGGACGGACTGGATAGGGACCGACAACACGACCGCGGTGTTGAAGACGAAGTCGGTTGACGATACAGTTCGAGTCAGCAGGTGCGGTAGACAGTCCCGACGCTGCTGCGACAGACTGCTGCGCGGGAGATGATCCAACGATAGAGAAAAGAGCTGGTGTGGGAGTTGGGGTTGACCCTGATGCTGCCGGAGAGGGGGCTGAGACTTGCTGAGCATTTGCAGGGTATTGGTCTGTCATTGGGCCCAGAAGGTAGAGAAATCTAGAGTCGTTCTGAAATGGAACGAAGGATGGACATTTCTCTTTCAGGAAGCGTGCGCATTGGTGGCGGACTTCGTCTGGGAAGACGTCGATTAGCGAGGCGGCCACGTCGAGGGCATGGGTCTGTAGGAGGATTCCTGGGCAGGGACGCGAGCCTTCAGCCGGAGTTGGGTGCGGGAAGTAATCGGCTGCAGGGAATAGACGAAGGACATCCCCGGGAAGGCGCGAGAGTGCAATGCAGAATATTGATGTCAGAAGTCGGAGCTGTTCGTGCAGAGGATTGATCTTGAGACCCGGGGGCGGTTGGGCGAATGCAGACCGATGAAGGACGATGATCCTCAGCAAAGCAGAGAACCAGAATGCAAGAGCACGCTCGAATTTTGATCGGCCTGTGTTGGCCACAGCCTTGGCATGGGTAGTGTTGTGCATTGTGATGATCTTGTGGAGAAGGGAATCCATCTTTTCCACAAGCACTGGAGCGACAGATGGAGCCCCGGAATCGGGGATGCTACTCGCAAGCTCTTCGATAATCGTGAGATACATTTTGGCAGTTTCCAACGATCCCAGCTTGTCAGGCGAATCAGGGATATCGCCTACTGGCTCTTCAAGCAGTGGGATGGAGAAAAACTCCTTCTCAGCACGTTCTCGGATTTGGCGGACGGCGTCCGGGCTCATCAGTGCAACCAGGTCAACCCAATGAAGTCTTTGAGCACGACAGTCTGACACGGCAGTTTTGAACATGGCATCAACAATATTGATTCGGTCTTCAGACCCTGAGTCGGCATGGAATAGAACTTGGAGCTTCAACTGGCAAAAAGGGAGCGAGAAATCGTCGGTCATACGGGCAAGCTTTTCGACCTTTGAGAGGAGTGAGTTGCCGTCGGGCTGTGACTCGACGCCCAACAAAAGGTCAAGCGCTTTCTGGACAATACTCAAAGCGGCTGGGTATTGGTCGATGAGCTTTTGTATGCCATTCTTTGCCGCGCATTCGGGGTGTCGCACAAGAAGATCACGCAACAACATGACTATAAAGCGCTCCAGCGGCCTGTACCCAGCGGAAGAGCCACCAGCCTTTGAGGATGCGGCGTCGCAAGCAATTTTGAGGGCCTCCTCGGAGTTCTTATTGAGAAATTCCTGCTGTGCCAACTGGAACCGATAGGACACCAAATCGAAGGATTTGCTATCTTCGTCGGCAGAGACAAGAAGTTGGACAAGGTCAGCAGGCAGTTGGGCTGCATTGGGGATTGTTGCTGGCCTGGACAGCGTGAGTCTCCTTGCAAGGGCCAAAAAAGCTCTGATAGTAACGCATCCGACACCAATTAGCGGCGGTAGAATTCGCAGCAAGATGGTACGTTCAGGAGATCGCAAATGACCACAGACCCAACGGGCCAGAATGCCATCAAAATGCTTTGGATGGAAAGACCTGAGCTGTGCAAGATAACGGCAGGTGTCATTTGCTGACAGATTTGCATGGCCATCATCAGATTCCAAATGCTTTATGAGTGTGTTGAAAATCGCGTCAAGAGTGGGCTCATCCATGACATTTCCTGATTGCAAAAGCTGATCTAGCTTCTCTCGGAAGAATGGGTCGACGCCACCAAAACCATCTGGAATGTGGTCAGAAACTGGAGAAGATGCGGCCATGATTGACTTGTTCTCCATACGAGAGAGATCCTGGCGAAGAATGGACACAGTGTTGAGTTCACTCGGGATGCGCAAACCAAGTTCGATCAGAGAGAATATTAGATCAAGACTTGGCATGCCAACTCGCTTAATTCCAGCGTAGGCATCAATGAGTCTCCGGAATAGATCAGTCGTGGCGCCAATCACGCAAAGAGAGTCGAAATGGTAGTTTGTGGTATCTGCAACCGAGGCGAGAACTATGCTATCACCACAACTAGATGCAAACTTCAACACATCTGCTAACATTGAAATGTCGCCAAATGATTCAAGAGCACCACGGACGGTATAAAACTCGGCTGGTGTCAGCGCAGACACCACAGGGGCAATGCCAACCGGATTCGCTCCTCTGTTACTTGACCTATTAGTAAGTTAGCAAGATACCTAGGTAGGTGACGGGCTTAGGAGAGAAAAATTCAAATGCTTACTCTGCGCTCCGGTTGTGTTCCGCAATTGCTCCTCGTAGCCACTGGCCAACCTCGGCTTTGACGGCCCAAGGGAGGTCTGACGGTAAGGAGTCTAAGGCCATTGACGCAGATTCATTGACGCCGAAAACTCCAGGTAGACGTTGGCTAATGGTATCTTTCGCGCTATCAATAGCGGCGTTCTCTTCCGAAGCAGAGAGCCCAGTGCGAGTCAGCAGAGTCCTCCGCAAGTTCCCAACATGTTCTGGAAGACGGGCAACAGGAAGTTGCGCTATCAGTCCGATATCGATTGGCAAGTTCTTCACCTGGACATCTGTTAGTGACCACGAGGGTTTGGCATGTAAAATCGATCTTACCTTGCGCTCCTCGACTGAAGACGATCCATTGGTAACGCCTCGTGCCATGAGCCATTGAAGGTAGCGGCCAACTGAGAATGTCTGTGACCTGACAAGCTCAGAGACGACATGGTATATTTGATCCATATTGAGCTTTTGATTATTCTGTCCGCGCGATAGAAAGGCCAGTATGTGGCTGTCTATGTCGACACCGGCCAGTTTCCATTTGCGGAGTAGGCGAACACCTATGTAAACCCGGCAGAGACCGTGACGGAAGGGCGTAGAGAGCCATTCCAATAGCTTGAAGACCAAAATAGCCTTGTCGTCAAAAGCGTCGAGATAGCTAAAGATAGAAGAGAGATCCTGGGAGGTGCGTATGGAGTCGAGAAGTTGTACGATGCGTTGATGGGGTGAGCGTTGGGTTCTCTGTTTCGAGTGTCTTGGTCGTTCCACTCGCGCATTGCGCTCTGCGAGGCTCTGGAAAAGAGCTTTCTCTGCTTCATTGCCCAAATCAAGGACAGATGACACCTGTTGCTTATACGTCTCCCAACAATTTGGGAGTATCATCGAGGATGTATGGTGAAGAACAAGCTTTCTGATAAAGCGAGAAAGACGGTCGATGAGAGGTTGAAGTTGAGTTAATTTAGCTTCAGTTGCCTATTGCTAGCTGTCAGTATTGACTGTAGGCGCAAAGTAGTTAGTGCAAGTTGAACGCACCTGTCGCACTTTTTGGAGCAGCAGCTCAGCTAACCGTCGTCCCCTTCGCCGATATCGCATGAGACTATTCCAGTATATGCCGAGCATCAAAAGCCAGATTGGAACCGAGCCGATAGAAGCAGCCTCAAAAGATGACAAGAACCATTCAAGGAAATGGTCATGGTCCAGTAAGTTTTCGGAGAATAAACGAGCAGTCAACCCGACTCTGGAGATAAAGGTTAGCATGCTGCTCACAATTGACGGAAATCCACGAGCACGTACGCATATGTGATCTTCGCCTTCCAATCCGCGGACTTGGGGGCAGCAAATACCCCTTCAACAAATTGCTGGACATTCGTCGTCCATTCTCGGACCCATTTCGCCTCTAGCCCAACAGCCAAAGCACCACTGGTGCCTTTTCGTTTGAATGCACGGATTTCATTCGCACCCACACACTTTGCCAACCAGACAGCACGTGCAACCGGAATCCATTTACCAAGGCACTGGTCCAGGAGGATCTTGCCGCGGATACCATGGGGAATCGTTCGGCTCAACCTTCGCAGCGGAACAGACGGGTTGGCCAGATCTCGAAGCCACGCCTCGCGCTTGTTATCGGTGAGCGTAACCCGAGGTGGTGGTTTAAAGGTTGACGGAGCGTGAATAGTGTTGTGACTTTGTCGTTTGTCTAACGCCGCAGCGAAGACGGACGAAAGCATTTGCAGTCCTGTGCGATTCTTGAGCTGCGCATATAATGCAGGACGCGCTGTATTTGATTCGTTCTGGGATACCTGTGTACGGTCATAATACCCTTGTTTCGCGGTCTGCTCGTTCAGGACGTCCTCCGGGTGGTTTCCGGTCCATGGGGTGAAATCGGCGGGTTCTAAAACGGGCGATTAGTCTCGATGGTCAATTCAGGAATCCGTGTGTTCGCTTACTTTGATCCTTGTAGACCGGAGCAACGGAAGGGATCTCGATGCGATACGGAGACGTTTGTACAGCCCCGACTGGGGAGCTTTCCCTCGACCTCACGACAGCGTTTCCCTCGGGGTCGGCCATGAAATTGTTCATCGAAGGCTGAGCCGGCAACGGAGGTGGAGATGGGGGCTTAGGTCCGGCAGCGCCATCGCCCCGATTCTCATTGCTCGGGGTTTCAGACACGACAGCTTGGAAGGACCAGACCGGACGGCCGCGCCACGAGACTGCAGGTCGCGAAATTGCACTTCCAGGAGTACTCCTCGTTTCTCCCACCGCCGCGCCAGTATCCGACGTATTCGATCCACTCGGAACATCCAACCTCGGTCGTTTCGGGGGCGGTTCTCTATCTTGCGACTCCGGACCGCCTCCGGTCAAGTCAACGACGGCGGTTTGTCGAATTGGCGGCTGGGGTAATGAGGCTGGCCTGTCGGGCTGGTCATATTGTCCCAACGTCTGCGCGTTATCCACTCGTCCGGGACCGCCATTGAAGGTCCGCAGAGGGTGGTGGCCCCACGGTTGGCCGCCGGCAGAGGAATGGGGGATCATCTTAGGCTCATGATGTATCCAAAGGGAGGAGTATTCGGGTCATTCAGGCGACGTATAGTTTCGAGGGATTCGAGTCAATGTTTCGAGAATGGATGTGAATGCGCGGGACTAGGTGGAAGTTGGCGGGTAGGGTGAGCTGATGGGGAATCGGGGAACGGGCAACTCGGGTATCTGGGTATCTGGGGATCAAAACACCAATCCTAAATGAAAAGGGAAAAGATGAACAGGGTTGTACAGAGAAGTAAGTACAACCTGACTTGGATATATAACAATGTAGTAAATGTAAGTCAAGAAAGTTCGAGGATCGACTTGTGTTAACATCACCACGGGCACTTATCATATGATTTGACGGGACAGACTACGGAGTAATGGGCTGACAATACCACCGGGGCACGCTCATTTGCCCTTCTCCTATAATCGCAATATTCCGGGTTTATGTGTATTTGCTCTTTCACCGAGTCTTTACTTGTAATATCAATGACATTTACTATTCTTATTGCTCATATCTCTATTTATTCTTCGCTTTATCCGGCTCCCGGAAAGCTCCCCTATCTGGTGATATGCCTCCTCGGCAAGAAGAACTCTTAACCGGAATCGTTCTTCCCAATATGGAGTACACATTACGGAGTACTGGGATGTAATCCAATACCCATGGGCTGTTACACAGTCGAGAGGTCCAAGAGCGCAACGGGCCGTTCCCATTCTCTCTCGGCATAATGATGCTTCCAAATGGCTTATCGGGGATGAGTCCGTGGACATTCCAACCGGCGCCTACCGGGTCCATCGGGTCTTTTCATTTCCAATTTCCAATTGTTTGACTCTTGACCCCGTGGCATGTTTGACTCAGCCTGGGCTGAATGGCAAATGCCGTCTGAGGTGCAGATCAACACCTGCATGGGCAAGATTCCATGAAACCACAGTGAGAACTGGAATATGCTAACTGTAAGGGATTGACAGTGAGTAGATTGGAGCCTACGGAGTCCGCTGTACCCATGTTATGTAGAAGTGATCGATGCATAGCCATCACACTGACCTGCAGCACACCTAGATCATTACACAAACCCTGTATGATGTCGGTGGATTTTTACTCGTATTGTCTTCAGGCTATTACCTTCATAGCTAAGATCCGAATGACTCTATTATCATATAATCTTATGTTGTACATCGTGCCTCTACAAGAGTTTACCTGAAGTAGTCCGATCCCTACTTGTAGTGTTCTCAACTTGAGCAGGGAAACAATAATGGCTCCATTTGGGAGATACAGAAGATACAGAAGACACAGATGCATAAAAGAACAAAAACGTACAAAGAAAATGAAAAGGAAAAGAGACCATGTTCCTCCAAGTCGGAGATATTCAATCCAGGGTGTTCTCGGAAAGTCTAGCCCAGACTGGCACCGCCTTGGCACGGGGTCAGTTCGAGTCCTTCTACCTCAACCCGTCACCTTAATATCATATCTCAACACAATGTCGTCAAAGAAAGATATGCGCAGGGCTGATCTCGGTGAGTGGAGTAATCCTTCAAGTTTTGGGTCCTCAAAGCTAACGTTGAAAAGCGATCCCCTATGTCGATCCGCCCAAGAGCAGCAGCGATGCCGATATCTCCAGTACGCCAGACCTTCGTCGTTTCAGCAACAGGATACTTTAGTGCAAGGATTATGAAGGCTGATTGAGCTATACAACAGGCACAATGTCAAGCACTATGCCCATGGCGGCCGTAAGTTGCCCCAACATGTGACCTTGCCATAACTTGACGCTGACCTTGATCTCTTAGATGTTTACTCGGAACCGGTGAGTCTCGCACATTACAAAAGCCACGGACATTATTGACGAATGTCGCGACACAGCATGATCGGATGGTAAGAGCAAGGCGAGCAGTCAATGGTTTTACTTATCTGACTCGGAAACAGGGTATCCTTCGTTTTCTCACTTCAGTCCTGGTTGGGTGAATCCCCAGAGCAGAAGAAGACTGCTTCTACACCGGCCTACATGTCGGTTTTCATGTCCTGTTCGTTGCTCTCCGTACCCCTCTGTGCTTGCAGGACTAATCTCATGGCGTGGTATAGTGATGGCACTAGTTGTCGTATGTATCCCGACCCTACAGAATTGCGATGCAATCAGCTTAACAAACCATGGCAGACCTATTTCCCTCTCTTCCTGCCCCCGCAGGCTCCTGGGGGTACCACCGGCGCTGCCGCACCGACTCCGCTGGCCTCTTGATCGCCCGAACTTCTTTGATATCCTCCCACATACGTACCATAATCTCCACGGTCTTGTCATCTGAACTGCGATGGATTAATCGTTCGCGGGTCCTCAGATTTTGAGTCTGGGTTGAGAGATCTCCACCTTTATCTATTATTGTCACGATGTACCAATATCCAACCCGAGTTCTGCCCTTGTGATCAAAGATGAGCAATCCTGCTTACAACCGTAAATTGCTACCAATTATTGGCTATTTGAATTAAATTGTATATGATTTCCATACAATAGTTCTTGCGCGTTATCGCAATGCTCACAGCCTCAGGTGCCCAGGTGGTAGGAATCGCTTAGTCACACACCGCCTTCCCCCACAACGTGACTCTTGCCTCAAAAGGCTCTGCCACTTCTTCTCTCCCACTCTTCTACCACAGCATCTCCCCTCTCCCAACCACACACGCACCGATCTTTGACAGAGATATTAAATCTCGCCCTTCGTTTACTCCATTAATACCCCTTTTAAACGCCGTTTACAACGAAAAGGCCGAGTTTATGTCCATCGAAAACTTGAAGACCTTCGGTAAGTTCGCCACTTTCCCCTCCTGGGCGCGTGTCGGGCTTCACCCCCACACCCATATCCACAACTATGACTACTATGTATGCGGATGAGACATATGTCTTTCATCATACGTAGTGTCCTGTATATTTCAGCTCCCACGCCTCTGTTCCACCGACTCTCACGGCGGCGCGGTAGAAATTCGGTACTGGGCTGAGGCTGACACGTGCATCGTACAGACCCCTTCGCCGAAGCTGACGAAGACACCGGCGAGACTAAACAGTCTCAGAACTACATCCACATACGGATTCAGCGTACGTTCGCTCTCCTATCCTCACCGCCCCGGCTACTCTTGCGACTCGCCGGCCCTAAAAGGGGGGTACATGCTAACCACTTGTTTCACAACAGAACGCAATGGTCGTAAGACTCTGACCACTGTTCAGGGTCTTCCCAAGAAGTTCGACCAGAAGAAGATTCTCAAGGTCATCAAGAAGAAGTTTGGTATGTCTTGTGACCTGTGCATATCTGTCTGGGTCAGATGCTAACTATATCTTAGCTTGCAATGGCACCATCGTCTCTGACACTGAGATGGGCGAGGTGATTCAGCTGCAGGGAGACCAGAGGAAGGATGTCCAGGAGTTCTTGACTGACAAGAAGGAGGGACTCGAGCTTGATGCAAAGACCATCAAGGTATGTCGATACCCCCTTATCTACCCTCCGTCACCATCACCATGGTCTAATTTGTCATATTCAAGGTCCACGGGTTCTAATCCCATCACCAACATCATGCCTTGTTCCAGTCCCTTCTTCCCGGTTTATGTTGCCCTGTGAGCGGTGGGATAGGAAGCATCCCTCATCCGCCGGCCGTATGCAATACTGGCCTTCACACATCGATCGAATGTCTTGCTTTCTCCCCCCCATCACTCTGTGCCTGGCGTGTTAGACCTGGGCCCTTGTCGAAATGACCCGCTACACCTGTGTGCCTCCTGCCTATCGTTCCCGCATGATCGGCAGGGAGAGCGGGGTGGTTCGACCGCTATTCTAAGAACGGGATTATGACGGAACGAGGAGTTGGTAGATACCCATTATTCTGCATAGACAGACAACACTTTTTTTCTTTTCATGAGTTTGCGTGTGTTTTCCATTCTTTTATCCTTTGAGAAGGGGTTGCCTTTGCCTGTATTGCCCATTGCCATTGCCTTTCCCATGGTCAATTTGTCGGTCTGGCCGATCGAGGAGATCCAGGTTGAACTAAGGGCGTGCTTTTGCTGAAGCCTTCTCTCGGTCTCTACCGTCTACTTAATCTTTGTGCCGTTCTCGCTCTTTTGCTGCCCTTCTCTTGGGGATACAGTCCATTGCGAAACAAGGGAATTGAACTGTCTTCTAGTACCGTCTTCTAGCTGATACAACAACGTAAAGTAAATTCGAGCTAGAGAAATGGATCTCAATCTACCAGGGTAGTTTAAAAGGATGAAAATTTCACATTGTGAATCAATCAATACACAAAAGTAGTAAGTCAGATCTATCAAAGATCGCCATGTAAGAAAAGAAAACAACCCTAGGCCAGGGGTATCAAGTGCAAGTCCAAAGACCCAAAGACAGAATCTTTAACCAAATCGAAATCGAAATCAAATCCCAAACCTGTATAAATCATCCACCCTGTCTAGTCAAGAACGCTTGTCCAGCTTGTCCAGACTGTGGAAATCAACTGCAAGATATCCTGAAACAGAAAAGGAAAAGACCTGCAACCAACAGGCAACTAAGCAAGCTACAGCTCTCCAACAGGAATACGGTCATCCGCAACTCGCATGCGCAGGAAGATGGCCACAGCCCAGTCCCAAAGTTTGCGGGTGATGACGAAGACAGGCACTTCTGGTTCGTTTTCACGGGTCAGATGCAGCTGCATAAGGAGTGAGGACATGCTTAGAAAGCTTGCGACGGAAACGACTAGTAGCGATGCTGCTGTTTCGCGTTTGATGGTTGCATGGTTTTGCGTTGCGTGGTAGACAAAAGTTAAAGACTAGGTGAAGGGTCAGTGGCTGTAAGGTAGATCAACAATTGGGAGTCTAGGTAAAGTACGGTTGTTATGGAGATCCAGGCTGGTAAAAGGAGTCGAGGGTCAGAGGATGCACCAGATAGATAAAGGACCCAAGAAGTGATGTATGCGATCAGGCCATTGGTCGTTAGAAGACGGATCACAACGGCTGGTGGAGTGTAGTTTAGAAGCCTGAGTATATCACGTATTAGCATTAGGGATGACAGTGAAACGTCCAAGGAAAGAGAAAACCGACCATCGAGACATCATGCAATCAGCAAAGAAATAGGAAAGATATGCAGATGCACAGCACTGTTAAATAAGTCAGTATGCAAGTACGCAGTTGGACACCAGCAAGTAGTATATCAAGAAAGATACACACCCACATATCAAGGCAGGAATATCACATACCCACATAATAGCCAATGCCACCTCTGTCACACGAAACCTCCGCTCAACATCCCATTCCTGCCCAACACTACCAACGATCGCCGCCGCCCACCCCTCCCGTCCCATACCCGGCCTTATGTGCAGCAACTCGGCGAGGAAGGTAAACGCGCATCGCAGACCCCACCAGGCAGCAGGAAGCGTGCTCAAAGCCCGACATACCAGCAGGGGAATATACCACCTGCGGTCTACTCCGAGGATGACAGCGACCCGCGGATGCAGTGCTGACTGATGGCCATCGCTGTTGGGTGGGGTATGGGACGTGGAGGACGTCGGGGAGGGCGGGACAGTCGAAGCAGATGGAGAAGCCACCTCTTTAGCCCGTTGGCTTTGTAGTAGTTCAGAGAAAGTGCTGAGGTAGCTGGGTGGAGGAGCCAATCGCGCAAGATTCAGGTCTGGATCACGGTGTGGATGTCGGTGTGGATAGTCGTGGGGAGTGTACGGTGGAGGAGAGGCATTACGTCGAGGAGGAGCCAGCCTTTATTCTGAATCGCGGCATATGCGGCCGCCACGCAAGGAATGGAAGGGGTATAGGATAAGCGTTGCGGTTGAGTCGTTCGCTCTCGATAAGATTCAAAGTTGGGTCGTTGTCAAGCTGTTTGTGAGTCTCCTAATTGGCAGATATCGACCCAGTGTGTGACGGGCGGTGTCTTTCTTTCCGGGGGGCAGTTTAGTTCTATACGATCAACTTCCTTTTTACATATGACAGTGGTATTAAAGAAACAGCGAGGAAGAAATAAGCCGTCGCCTCGATAAGAGGGAGCTTCGTTCACAAGGATCCCCCGGCTAACTTGTTGCTGTCGACCTGCGGAGTCATTCACGTGACTGACAGTTCCGCGGATTTCTGTTCTTCGGCTAGGAACCAACTTATCTTACTCAACCCGATTCGCAATGGCGTCTTCCCTACGATTGCCCGCGGGCACTTCCGCTAGAGTTGTACCATCTGGTTCCTTCGTCCAATGTCGGGCCTTCTCCGAGACCTCCCAACAATGGCGTGGGAGACAAATGAATTTCCGCCCTCCAAGCCAAGTCCAGCCGTCCTTCAAAACCAGAACCCAGGACATGAGGTTAGCAGATCTGCCAAATGACATTGGCCTATTACCAGGTACCTTTGTCCGACCGTTGTGGAGGGATATGCCTTCGGTTTTCACGGCACCACGCGATAGGTGGCATATGGAATATACATGGCTCAAGTCCTGGTTCAGCAACTTTGCCAGGTTAGTTATCCCCGAATCCTCGGAATATTCGGTACGCTCTATCACCCTAGTGGTGGTTACGCCGAGCAAGAACTGCATATACCATATACTTGCAGAGATTATCTTTCCTAACTATATTGCAGTGTGCTCCAATACTGCAAGCGCGAAAACAACCTTCCTCTCCTTCTAAGCAAGCGGCGCCACTTCGCCGCAAAGCTCCAGGAAGATATGTACACAGCATTTGCCCAGTAAGCATGCACCTCTTCCTCGTTTACTTCTTGGCAGGCCTAACTGCTATGAATTTTTATAGAGGCAACACTGCTCAAATCCGCCAGATCTGCTGCGACGGTCTCGTCAAGCAACTCAGCAAAGGTATCGAACGCCGCCCGAAGAATGAGAAGATGACCTGGAAACTGGTGAAATATCTGCGTAAGCCAAGTACAAACTTCACCGGCCTCCGCGTCATCGCAGATCGCGCGACATCCATCCCCGATATCCCGAAATCCGGTATCCGTCAAATTGTTGTGCGCATCACGAGCCGACAGGCTACAACCACGACTCAAATCCAGAACCCCAGCGGAAAGGAACCCACGGAGGCTACCACCGTTTCCGCCAAGGAGCAGGACTGTGTCGAGCACATTGTCATTCAGAATCTCCGCTGGAATGACCAGGATAAGGGCTGGAGAGTCTGGGGCTACATCAATCCCACCTCATTGCATGAGGCTTACCATAGTCCCCACTTCGCGCCTGGATTGTCAGCCCTCGAGCGTCTGCAGATGATCCAGGACTCGTTGGGCAAGAAATAATTTGAATCACATCTCTAAGTGTGATTTGTGTTTCTCCCCTGTCAGAATGATATGTTCTGCGCCTTTGAGCTCTCCGCGATTGGAGACTGCAGCTGCAAGATCCGCACCAGGAACTCAAATACCGGACGAGACTAGATGCCTTGCCAAAAAGCTTTTTTGACCTACCATCTTACCGGATCAACAGGCAATGGTTTTGGCGCGGTATCCTTTATTTCATCTGCTTGTCTTACTCCTTGTTAGCAACTCCTCATTTTGGGCCTAACACTGAACAGAGGCTCGAGCCAGCTTCTTGCCTGGTCTGTTCTCTTTCCTTGACGCGGGAAACCCTTGATATAGAAGCATTTACACCTCCCATGTACCATAGCCACCTGTTTTTGATCAAATTCTACCTCTCTTTCGAGCCGTTACTTGTATAAATGAATATCAATGTCTCAAAAGTGTCTTTCCCACGATCTACTATCATCCGTAATACGTTGTACTCTCAAGTTTTAAGCTTCTTTGGCGCGATTGAATGCCCTAAAGAATGTGGGAAAAGGAGAGCTTGGAAAGTAATACATGGTTTAGACAGCCATTCCCAATAGCCAACTTATTGGTGTCATATTGCTGGCAGTATCTTATACTTTCTACTGGTATGATACCAAAGAGGCCAATATTTGCTGCATCTCAACCTGACATCATCGGTAACACGATTATACGTTGCCCATGACCGGCAAAAGTCAAGACTTAAAGGACTAGGCAGTATGTATATATACAATCGGAAGGCACAAAGGCACAATATTAATGCGTAGCACAGGTATCACTCCGAGGAAACACCAGAATACAGCAACCAGAGGTACGAATGGATAAGAGGTTCAAGAGAGCACCGGGAAGCGATGCACCAAACATTATACGTGGGTCCACGAACCAACCCTCTTATTCCAAAAAACCAAGAAAGGAAAAAACTAGAAACGGGCCGGGGCCGGATTGATCTAGTCGTCGTCGAAGATCTGGAATGTGTTATTCAGGATCGTCTCGACGACACGGACCTGCCAGCCAGCGTCGGCGATGCTGCCACCGGAATTGGCGCCCATAAGTGTTGGTCTATAGCGAGAATTAGCGGGTCTGTATCTGATAACATCGCCATTTTATAGGACATGGAGTGTGCAAGGACATACCCGAAGCAAATGGCTAGATTGCCCGCGTTCATGCGGTTCTGGGTATAGTGTTCTTGGATCTTGTTTAGATGCTGCAATGGACTAGATTAGTATCTAGATGAAAACAAAGACTGGGTTCTTGTTGGGGATCGTACCAGAATGATGGCGCGGAGGGTAGCATAGTGAGCATCAGGCAGACTGTTAATAAGGGCGTGCATCGAGTCTCGGCGTTGGATGTCATCGTCGATGCCTGTGGTTTCATTGTCAGTTTCTCAATACGGGATTACCTATTGTCTCTATAACGTGAACACAACTTACGAGCAGCATCAACGAACTGTTGGTAGAACTGAGTGGTGAACAGAGGGTCAGGTAGGTCCCTGAAGAATTGCTTCGCAAGTCCTGCAACACTGTTGACATCATGGTAAAAGTTCTCCGGGTTTGTGAAGTCGACTTGCGATGAGTCTATTCATGTGAGAGTAAGGTTAGCAAACTACCCATATTTACTCAACTGTCTGATCAAGCTTACCATTGTCAAACAGGGCTTTCATGTGGCTGATGTGATTGGCACTACCCGAAAGTCGATAGATGCCCTCCATGTCCAGACCGAACAGCTCAACTGCTTGGAAACACTGGTACACAATGAATGGAACCGCCGTTCCATCCCGGGCGTACAGGTCGTTCAGCGAAACACCGAATACTGGCTTCAACGGAGGGAGGTTCGATTGGAGGTTCCTGTCCATTGGGGGAGGTCCTGCCATTGGCAACGGAATCTTGGGTGCGGGTTCCGGAGCAGGCGGCCCTGATACTGGATAGGGAGGTGTGCCGGCTGGGGGCGGAGTGAAGGACTTCTCGGGAGGATAAGGTGACTGCGGCAACCGGTCACCGGTATGCGGTGGCTGAAGCGCCGGCGAAGAGGTATTATTCGAGGTGAATGCCGGCGGCATGATTGACACGCGCTTATTCTGAGTGCTTTGTTGAGAAGCTGCTGCAGAAGCAGAAGTAGCACCAGCACCACCGAGTGTCTAATCATGTTAGTATAGTAAAGCAATCAAGGAACAATGCCGGACTTACAGGGTGGCGCTCATATTTGACCTGTTCCGAAGCCACAGCCCCCGGGTTGCCTTCATGGCTTAAAATAAACTCATGGAGATCTCTCTGGTTATCAACTTGGCGAATAACATCGGCAAGGCTCTTAGGTCCTAATGCTCCATCGGTCTTCAAAGGGTTCACGCAGAGACCCTGGCCTAGAAGCAATTTCTCGTTGAATGTGGCTGCAAATCATTAGTCGATGAACAATGAACGATGAACCACCTTGTGAAATGAATCGCACATACCGAACTTCTGCTGTTGCAGGGTCAAGCCCGAGTCACACTCAGAGATCAACTGCTGAAGATTGTGTACAGCCTGAGGTCGATGGGTAGACACTAGCTCCTGGCGCGCAGCCTGAGCAGCCTGAACCTTAGATCCATAATCGCTATCCGCGTTCTGGACCTTGCGCAACAACTCCTCCTCGTGCTGCGCTGCAGACTTGTGGCCCTTGAGACCGAACTTTCCGCCCTGCTTGTCTCCCGTGCGAACACGGTCATACTGCTCCGCCAATGACTCGTACTTGGCCTTTGCCTTCTCTGCCAGCGATTCTGCATCGACGACCCTCTTCTCCGCAGCTAAACCCGTCTGTTTCCATTGCTTGCGGCCGCGCTCGATGTTGGCAGCCAGCTCGTGCAGATCATCGGACATCTGGTGGAGGGAGACAGCGAATTGGAGGCCATGGTCGACCATTCGCTCTTGGATTCGGTGGATGTCCTTGTAGCTGGAACTGTATGTTCCTTGTCGGTTCTCGGAGCGTTGCGACGCATCGCTGATCACGCGGGACAGTTTTCTCAGCCCCTGAGCGTGCTCTTCTTCAAGAGAACCTCGCTTTTTCAGGAACGTTGAGAAATCCTAGCAGATACCGTGTCAGCTCTTGCGATCGTGGTTGGAACCCTTTTGCGACTACTGACCCTGGCGGAGGCCACGCTCTGCTTCAGCCGAGTGAGGAGTGTGGTTATGCCAATCTACTCATGATTAATACAATTGCGTTCTTTTCTTTAATATGCACCTGGTGTTGGAATGCCTGTTTCTGCTCACATCAGAGTAGATAACTTTGTCCAGGCGGGCTTTCAGCTCGTCTGAGATGGCTTCGTTCGGCTGGGTCTGCTCGCCCCCGTAGCTGGGGGATGAGCGACCGGCGCTCGGCGGAGGCGCATCGGACAGCGTCGGTATCGCCGTGGATTCGTGTAGGGCTTGATCCGACATGGAAAAGGTCTTGACTTGAGTGAATGTCAAGAAAGAGGAGTTAAATAGAGGGGGGAACGGAAAGCCCCACGGGCCACCTCTATTATTATCAGTGGAGATGGCGGTTAGGAGCCGATCAAAATGAGGTCAGTTCACGGGAAATGCTGCAGCCTGCCTTTTGGAGTTTCACTTGGGCTGAAACGTTGTGAACCTATAGGAATGTCTCTAGCCTGCCCAGTATGTATTTTGGGGTTAAGTACTAAGGGTTCAGCCACACAAGTGGATCTTTGGGCGTCATTGTGTACGTAGTTGCGTTTGTACGTAGTTATTTAGTTATGTACATTATTCTATTAGCTCGCAGTAAAATTCACTTTTATTCTGGTATCGTCGCTAGGAATCAAATATCAACATTTATACAGAAACATGGCAGTAATTGGCATCTATAAAACCGGAGGTGCGACGAAAGAGTCCGGAATGCCATCGAAAACCCAATTAAGTGAATCAAATACTTCTGAGAATCCAGATTCGCTGAAAAATGCTCCGCCTTCATCGAACTGAGCTGGCATCATTAAAGATTGGTCCTCCAGGGAGCTATCCTGCTGTTGCCGCGTCATGTGTCCTGCTGGGCCTAGTATATCTTGGTTCGCTGCTATAGCAGCAGCTATAAACAGGAATCGGTTAAAACTGGGACAAAACAACTACAAGGGGAGGAAAAAGCGAACAAAACTTACCTTGCATTTCCTCAAGGCTTTTGACCGGTCGGAACCGCTGTCGCCAACGCCAGACTGTGTCGTAGACATGGCTCATGCTCATCCGGCAGCGGACTTTAAGCTGTAGAGCATCTTCTTCGGCGGGCTCTAGGCTCGTGGCATTCCACATCTGAGCGAGGATATCTGCAAGGCGAATGGGACGGTCATGATCCATGACACTGATTCGGCGAATTGCCGAGATCGCACCGTTGAACAGTAGCTTGCCATGGTTGAAATCGAGGTGTCGACTGAAGCTGCTCTTCAACAACTTCATGAGAGCAAAAGCGGCTGACACAATCATTTGAAGAATATAGTTGGTGGAGTGGCCGATCAATTCACCTGGCGATGTTTCGAGATCTAGTACTCGACCAAGGAAGGAGGTTGTTGCAAGGAAAAGCTTGATCAGGTCGTCGCTTCGTGCAGTAGAACCCAAAAACATGAAGTATCGGAAGTGCAATTCTGCGGCTCGCAGATGAATCGTGTTGATTGCTTGGTACGAGTGTGAGCGGTGCCAGATTGGGAATGATATGGCAACAACTTACCGGAGATTTTTCCGTCAAACTCCACATCCATGTCTCTGAGCTCACTTTCCAAAACCTGGACGACCACGAGCTTGTCGGCACTGATAAACTCCGCAGGCTCGGGTTTGCTACTGTACAATGCCTTGGTCACCCGGTCGCAAAACTTTTCGATTCGTAACCGAATGGCTAAGTCATCGGGAAGCCGATAGTCGGCATCCCTCAAAGACGCAGGTTCAAGGGCCCAGTCATATATTGTGCTCGGTGGCTGGCCGTAACCAGTCGCAACACTGCCGAATTCTCAATCAGTCTGCGATAACCGGCTGCATATCGAAAGGAAATACTCACTTTTGAGCCACGATGTTGCAAATGACCCACGTATGTAGTCGATCCTTCAAAGCTTCACCTTGAACTTCCATCCGGAATGTTGTGAACTCTTCCGCTTGAACCGGACGGTGTAGCCCAAGCTGCATAGCAATCTGCATCATCAAGCCACTGAGCATGAACGTCGCATCGGTGCGCTGGCTTGTAGTCGGAAGAGGCCATGTACACAGAACACAAAGGGCCTTGACCACCCGGTAGTCCTGTGGTACACTGGTAATAGTTGACCAAAGCAGCCTGCTAAATGGCCCGGACAGTGCGCTCAAGAGCCCCGGCTCATATTGAGACCGTCGACTCGCAACACAGATCATAGTCCACGCCAAAAGAGGGCATCGGTTGAGATACACCTCTGGGGGCTTAGGTGGATTCAGAAGAGGAAGAAAGGGGTGATAATAAGTAAAGTATCTACACAGATGTTAACCGGAGAAGCGGCCCAAAGAAATGGAGAGCGCATACTGTTCGTATAATCGAAGAACTCGGGCTTTAGAGAGAGTAACATCTTCCAGTCTCCAGTGGCCCTCATCCTGTGATATGATAGAACCATCCCTTTTCATAGTCAATGGAGTTGCTATAGACGAGTGGGATTCAACTGGCACTGAGACATGCCGAGATTGGGCAATCGCGGCTGAGTCACGGCGAGCAAAGACATCCTCTGAGCAATGGGACATTTCATCACCTCCATGAGGCTCATGGGGCTCTACACCTTGCTCATGATCTGAATTAGGTCCCAGGCGTCGGCGGAGATCTGCAATCTCCTTTTCCATTTCAGCATTGCGCCTGTGAAATGGGGTCAATAAGATGCAGGAGAGGGGGAAAAAGAGAACAATTAAGATTTACCTTCTCTTAGAGATGCGCTTGAACGACTGTTCAACTTTACAGTCTATCCCAAGCCTGCGACAACGCGAACATGCCGCAGCTGGCGTTTGAACAATATCACACCTCAGCTATCAAAGTTTGAGACATCAGCGCGATTGTCGAAGACCCGATACGGTCGGGGTTGGTTTGGGTAAAATTGCATAGTAATTGTAGATATGCACATGACTCACCTTTTGCTGCTTACATTCATTACAGGCTTTTCGGCTGCCACCTCGGCGCTTGCCCGTGACAGGCGGAGCCTTCTCCATCTCGCAAGACTCCGAGCTTCTCTGCATGAAATCGATAACCGGGGGTGGCCGGGGTAGAGTGGGGGACCGAAAGTCGCTCGGCGGGATGGAGTAATGCGGCCCATCCGGTGCCAGTATGTTCCGATACCCCAAGTCCATTGAGATCAGCCTGCGTTCAGCCGGTATAAAACCCCACGAAACGTGAACGAGTGGTCGCGGAGTCCATGTGCCGTAAATCGGAGAAATCGGCCCGCTGAAGGGGGATGTGGGGAACCAGTCTGGTGATTGAGGACGATGATTTGCGGGAGATTTGATGCCGAGACGAATCTCGGCGGTTGCTGATTCATTTGATGTCTGAGGCATTAATTGATGATGTAATCTCCATCGCCTTGGCACCTGCGCAGGTGGCCAGCGTGAAGCAGTTGAACATGCCATATGGATACTATATAGGGATTTGAATACTTCCATCAGAACACTCTTGATAATGCGTGAGGTGGCTACCAAGCATTGTAGAGTTCATATTGCATATTGCCATCAACTAAAGTGGTATATCAAACAGAAACACATAAATAGACATACTTTACACTTAATTTAAATCAGACAAATATTACTGAAAAGAATAGAGTCACAGCTGATATCTCAATATATCAAAGCCATATATTCGACTCCATATCTGCATTGGACTTGATGCCCCACTTGCCATGGACCGAGGTCGATGTCGATGTGGATTATATGGATTAGTATGGATTATATGATCCGCATTCAATACACATATTTAAACCCTTTAAACTCCCTAAAGGTTATCATTCCAATATCTGATCTAGGATATCGAACATCATCGAGTTTGACTTTGAAAAGGTGGGTTGTTCTATGCTACTGGTGCTACTGGTGCAGGGCTGACAACTCAACAGGTCATCATGTCCGAAATCAACGTCACCGCAGTGTTCATCCCAAAGCCGGGGAAGTTTGAAGAAGTCAGCTCAGCCATATACTCCTTGACAGCCCAAATACCTAACATATTGTGTGGCCCTCCAGGTAGCTACTCTTGTAACCGAAGTCATCAAACAGGTGCAAGAACACGAACCGGACACACTACTCTACTATGCATATGAAATCAAAGACAAGAATGAGATTGTGATCGTTGAGAGGTAAGTCAACCATCATCGAGATATTGATATAGCCTCTCATTGATATCTCCCCCGCATGGAGAGAGCGGCGGTGCCTCGGCCCGATCTACTTTGCAAGAGCATCTTTGCCACAATTTTCCACGATGCTGATTCGGCTCTACAATATAGGTATAAAAACCAGGCGGCGATCCAGACCCACGTCCAATCGCCCTATTTCCGAGCCTTCGCTGGAAAATTACCCACTTTGTTGACGAGACCGGCTGATATCAGGGCAGGTGGGTTCGTGAATGGTTCAAGGGGCGTATCGCGCATTTAGAAGGTTCTGCTTGTTTATAGGGTCGAATAAAGTCCCATATATAGCCGATGTCCGGGGTGGTTGGGTAGATATAAATAGGACAGTTGATGGACCATGCATATAAGCACACCCCTCCCTGTTTCCCATAATGATTCGATATTGATAGACGCCATCGCATGTCCCGGTGTCACTCGTGATTCAATTCTCATGCGATTGGTGCATTGGTGGCTGACCAACAGATATAGGAGGTCTGTGAGGTTTTAGAGAAATTCGACCCTATCACACAGAGTCAAGGGAAACGGAATCAATATATAGCCATGTAGTACATTCTATATCTATTTAGATACGCACATTTCGATATTTAGAAGTGGAGACATATATTTTTTTAACCATCTCTTTCACTTCAGAGATCTAGTTATTAGTGACCTTGGCTAGGGGAACTAGTCCGATCACTTTCCCTTTTTTTCCCTCTCTGACTCTTTTTTCTTTCTCTCCACCATTTATATCCTTTTTTTGAGGTGAGTCCGTTCCATATCTCCTTTCATCTTCATTTTCTTGGTTCTCCACATCTCTCCCCCCTCTTTTCCCTAGCTCCAGCCTCCTAGCTTCTTCTTCAAAGTCCCCCTGAAGCTAAAGCTAATCCTCTGAAGATACCCTTGTTGCCATTGTGTCCTTCCGTTATCGAGCCCCTTATCGGCCAACACCCCCAACAGCCCCTGTTGGAATTCGGCTTTTGATTATATTCCTGCGACATGGCGACGGGTCCGGCTACTCAGTCACTGAAGGTGGGATGATCCGATCCACATGCGCGGCTTTAATTGACAATACTCGCAGTGTGTGGTGACCGGTGATGGTGCAGTTGGCAAAGTTAGTACATCCCGACATTGTATCCCTCCTAATCTTGCGATAGACGCTGACATCCAATTTCCTTTCCCCTAGACATGTCTTCTGATCTCGTACACAACGAATGCTTTCCCGGGTGAATACATCCCTACTGTGTTCGTACCTACTGCCCCTCAATACGAAACCTTGAACCCCGAACGGTCATTGATTCCATCACAGCTTTGACAACTACACGGCCAGTGTTATGGTTGACGGCCGGCCGATCAGCCTGGGACTGTGGGATACCGCTGGACAAGAGGATTACGATCGCCTGAGACCCTTATCCTACCCGCAAACCGACGTCTTTTTGATCTGCTTCTCCATCGTCAGCCCGCCATCATTCGATAACGTCAAAGCGAAGGTACGAACGGGCCGAGCATACTAAAGAGAAATATCCTTGTTTCCATGCGACTGACTGTTCCCCCGCTTCTAGTGGTTCCCTGAGATCGAACACCACGCCCCCAATGTCCCCATCATCCTCGTCGGTACCAAGCTCGATCTGAGGGACGACCGCGCGACTACGGAAGCCCTCCGCGCACGCAAGATGGAGACCGTCTCCTACGAACAAGCCCTGGCCGTGGCCAAGGAGATTCGCGCACATAAGTACCTTGAATGTTCGGCGTTGACACAACGCAACCTGAAGAGCGTGTTCGACGAAGCCATCCGGTGCGTTTTCACTCTCCTTTACGTTTCCCGGACTACTTGGGTATATCCGGTTTTTTTTCTAACTGTCTGTCACAGGGCCGTTCTCAATCCCCGTCCCGCTACGAAATCCGGGAGGAAGGCAGTCAAATGCAATCTCTTGTAGAGCACGTATGTTTGGCTCGACTCGTCTCCCCATGTTCTCGTATGCTATAATGAATAATATATAGTTAATACGGCGTCTGGGTAGTTAGAGGCTTTTTTTAATTCGCCGGCCTCTTAGTGCTGTTTTGTGATGAAATCCATTGACCGTTTTTCTTGGGGATATCTTTCTGTCTTCGCCCTCTTGGCCCTTGTTCATAGTCTGTCCCAATCCATTCGCCATGTTCTTGACTCCGAGACTATACTGTAGTCATTATAAGTCATCTGTACGCCATATCATGATAGACGTCCACTCGGGCAATGTCTGCCAGGAAGCACAGAAAAGAACATATCAATTGGTATCTTCAAAATCAAGCAATAGAGATATGAAGTAAGTACTTTTGGAACACAGGAGAAAAAGCCGGCCAAACATGATGCTCCCGGGAATGCATGGCTACCAAAATGTCCTGCTGCCTGCGGAGGCTCCGGACACCTTGCTGTACACTGTGACGATCCATCAACGAGTTGAGGCTGTTTGAAGTAAACCATAGCAGGCAAATTTTGTTGATTTAAACTCGGCCTCTGCGGCTAGGGTGGAGACCAGCCCACTGATCGTTCTCAGCGCTGCCAGCGTTGTCAGCTGCGCCGTCCATGGTAGCAGCGTTGGCACCAGATCCGCCAGCGGGGGCAGCCTTCTTGTCGTGTTTCTTCTTGTCCTTCTGGATATCCTTAGCCTGGCGCTGGCGCTCCTCATTGAGCTTCTCGTTCTTAGCCTGGATCTTGGCATTGCGGTGTTCGGACTTGGCGCCGCCGCCGCCAGCACTGGAATTGGTAGTTAGTATATGGTCTTAGGACTTCTTTGTTTGGAGAAGACTTGAAAATGATCATCTTCTCCAATTGGGGGATAACTCACGTCAGCTCGACGTTCATGCGTCGGGGCGGGTACTTTCCGTCGTCGAAGGTGGAGTGGTGGTACAGCTTGAGGCAGGTCTTCATGCGGTCATAGTTGTCAAACTCAATGAATGCAAAGCCGCGGCACTTCTTGGGGTCTTCCTTCTTGGTTGCGACGCGGATTGTGGCCGGGGGGTTCTTCTCGAAGTGCTTGGTCAAGGACTCGTGGTTGGCGGAGTAGGGAAGGTTGCCTGCATATGCGAATATCCTTTGATTAATCCTGTGTCTTCAGTTCCGCGTAGTCCATCTGGATTGGAGTCATTTACCGACAAAGCAGATGAAGCGGGAACTCTTCTGGGCTTGCTGGGCCTCCGCGGATTCAGCGGTAGGCTCTTCTTTGGCCTCAGCCACGGGCTCGGTCGTCTCCTTCTTCTGCTTCTTCTCCTTCCTGTCCTTCTTCTCCTTCATGTCCTTCTCCTTCTCCTTCTTCTCCTTCTTATCGGCGTCCACCTTCTCGGCAGGGGTCACATCAACATCCATAACGTCCTCGGAGGGAGCAGCAGGCTTGGTGTCGGCCTCCTCGGCCTTGCGCTTCTCCTTCTTCTCTTTCTTGTCGGACTTCTCCTTCTTCTCGGACTTGTCCTCCTTGTCCTTCTTTTCCTTCTTTTCCTTCTTTTCCTTCTTTTCCTTCTTTTCCTTCTTTTCTTTCTTTTCCTTCACCACTTCCTGTGTCGGGGCAGCAGTTTCGGTGGGAGCGACAACCTCGGACTCCTCTTGCAACTTGCGCTTTTCCTTCTTCTTCTCCTTCTTCATCTTCTTGCCCTCGGGCTCGACCGCCTCATCCTGCACAAGTTTGCGCTTGTCACCCATTGTGGTGTTGTGTGGGGTAAATGTTGTGATAAAAAGGGACAATGGTGGGATGGCAAAAAAAACAAGACGAATAAAAGTCCTGGTGGTTTGGGACAACAAGAAAAGAGGTGGAGAAGTTTGCAACGCAACGAGACTCAAGCTCCAAAAAAAGTCAGGCGGAGAGGAAAGTGAAATTTAATTTTTGCCGTGTCTCGGGAGGCGGTAAAGACAGGCTTCCCGATAAGGCCTTAGCTTTTATAGTTGGCAATTTATCTACATAGTACTCTGTACATACGCACCCTGTCAAATAATTGTTTGATAGATTCATTCAATGCATGTACTCAAATCATATACCAGTATAAAATTTCGCGCTCAACCCTTGCTTAGATTAGAACACCAAGATCTTCACACCATTCTTCGCCCCATAGCGCTCACGCAGCTCCGGCCGAGTAAGCAGCTTCAACAGCGGCATATGCGTGTCCTTCATGTCAAAGATGCCTCGTTGCTTCTGGTCAATGTGTGATCCGTCAATGACAATGCGCTCAAGTTCCCCCAGGTTGAGAGTTCCTAGAAGATCAATTATCAGCGTCTGTGTACGACGAAGTAGAGCTATCTATAGATAGCAACCGAGCAGACTCACCAGACTCGATCAAATCAGATATTCTGGTCGGGGTTCCAGCTCCGATACCAGACCGAGCACGTTGAAGGAACTGCTTCGCTTCCTCCAGCTTGATGTGCTTCGCGAACAGCTTGCCTACAATGCTCTCCTTGGTTTGGAAAGACCGTAGTGCGCTAGAAGCATCAATTGTCAGCCCCAGCTTCACCTGGTAGCAGGGAAAAGATTGAAAATTTCCCACTTACCGTACAACATCAGCGGCCCGCAAAGCAGCACCCGAAACGACTAGTGTGTGAGGGGTACCGTTCTTCTCGGACGACTTTGACAGGTCGGTACCTTTGGGACTGAACGACTTGAGAAATTCGGGGAGTTGCTCCAGCTTTCGGGTGGGGGTGAAGGAAGAGGTATCGAGGAATGCGGAATCTATAACTTTGTTAATGTCTATGACACCCGCCGGCGGCCTTGGCCAATAGAACGGTACTAAGTATACATACCTGGAACCGAAAGATCGCTCAGTTCAACAGCAGAGAGCTCTTTATCGTGTCTTTTGGCCTTCTGCGCAAAGTAATCGCCCAACAAACGGCCGTCCATCTTGCCAATGGACTCGTCAATACCGTCTTTGCGCGTTGATTGACTTTCATCGTGTTCAACCTGCTTCTTTTTGTTTTTGTTCTTCTTCTGCTTCTTCTTGCTCGATCCTTCTGCGGGTGTGCCTGCCTCGGGCTTTTCTTGCTTGGGAGTAGCATCGTCGGTTTGTCTCTTGCGCTTGTTTTGTAGCTTATTGGAAAGTCCCTTTGGGGCGTTTGAGTCGGCCATTTTTAACGATAGGCAGTAAACTTCGCAAAGGATCTTCCAAGTATTTTAAGCTTCAATTAGTAAATGCAAGTCGCATCGAGAAGGCTTCATTGCGCAAAAAAAAAGCCGGCTGATTCAGCCAATCTTATCGATAAGAACGGGCCAATCACGCACTGGCCCGCAATTGTTGTTTCTAGACGCGACAAACAAACATCATCAATCTTGTAATTCACCGTTCGCCCAGTAGATCTGGGATTTCATTGCTGTGGTGATCACGTGTGTGGTCTGGTATATGTTGCATAATATATGTGTACTTCTCCTACGGAAAGAATCAAGTTATGTCTACTTCTACCCCGAACGCGCGTGCCCGTCGGTCACCATTTGGAACCGCCACTCCATCTGGGGATACAGCATTGACCGGAGTGAGTGTCATCTATTGCCTTTTGGGAGGTTGGAAAATCCCTGACCATATCATCTTCCTACAGCTCCAACGCCTTCCTATCCATACACGCTACCCTCTTACACCAAGTCGACTTGTTACAGCAACCACCCCAGGCACACACCGATCCGCCTCTCGATACACACCACGCGCTCGAGGCGTGGGTGCGCCAGCAACACCATACGGGCTCCGTGCCCGGCAACAACGAGCGGCGAATACCCCTGGTCGGGATCGCCGGCGAAGCGGCCGAATGCAGCGGGAGACTACATTCGATATTCTCAGAAACCTGGGCAGAGGTAAGAGCTTTGCCACGTACCATCCGACATAAAGAATTGAACTGAATTATTCGAGCCGGTCTTAGCACTCGCTCCTATATCTCAACCTATCCGCTCCTCGCCGCAGGAGAAGCCAGAGCCTATCGGAGAGCCAATTGATGAGTTTGAACGGCTTGATAATGAGCCAGAAATCGAGCGACCACGGTTATCTCTGCCTATTCAAGAGTCCGAGGAAGAAGGTGAAGAAGCGAGTCCTGAAATGCGCCCCCCGAGGATGTCTCTCGCCTTTGGAGAGGAGGATATGGATATTACCTATCAGTCTGTCGAATATCCTCGCGATACCAGCATCAGAGACCGGGACCGGTTATCAATGATGAGCCGAGCCACCGGCAGAATCAGTGGAGATTTCGAGGAGACACGATTAGAGAGCGATGATAGAGATGAAACTGGTATTGTGGGTGAGGATGATGAGGCGGAAGATACAATGATGAGTGGGGGCGACTTTGATAGAGGGTGGGTATACAAGAGTTGGATTATCTATGTTACAAATCTTGGCTAATATCACAAATAGGGGAGAGACGGAAGATCTGGGGCGCTTCCATTTTGACCTCAACTTTCCATCTCCTGCGGCTGCTCCGCTTGAAGATCCCACTGGCGGAGATATGAACGATATGGAAGATTTCGAACTGTCCGCTGCGCAGCTACCCCCAGCTCCTTCAGACGACGATGATGACGACGTTGGGGGTGATTTTGGTTTCGGACTCGAGTTCCCGCCCGCAGCATCCCCCAGTGAGAGCCCTGGGATCGTTGGAGGAGGATTGCGAGATGAAGCTATCCCAGCGCAGGGCAAGCAAAAGCAGATTTCACGACATGGGATTCCTGTCCCAAACTTGCCCTCAGGTGTGGTAAAAAAGCTAGCGACTCGCTTCGCGCATTCGGGGGCTGGATCAAAGGCAAAAATCAACAAGGCCACGCTGGCCGCCATCGAGCAGGCGTCCTCTTGGTACTTTGAACAAGCAAGCCAAGATTTGGCTGCGTATTCAAAGCATGCAGGACGGAAGACCATCGATGAAAGCGATGTCATCACATTGCTGAGAAGGTCAGTTTCCTTGGACGCCGAACATCTCATGGGAGTAATTGCTGACTTGTTCCAGACAACGGCATATCAACAACTCGACGACGGTCTTTTCCCTCGCCCAAAAGCATTTACCCAAAGAACTTCAGCAAGACATGAGATTTGCCATGCCTCCATGAATGTCCAGAACAAAATTCTCCATGAAAAGTAACGCCTTCAACGCCAATGAATTATGCTAAGGTGAAGCTGAAATCCCACTACCGATTACCAGTTTCGGTTCTGGCGAACCCGGCGCATTGCCTCGTTGGGGTTCTTCCGTATAACCATCCACATCATGATGGTCGTGGCCAAAGACAGGCCATACCTGCAGGGTATGAGCAACAATCTCGACTTGGGAACGGAAAGCACGCAACAGATGAAACTTACCAGGTGAAGATGTATTGAGAATGGTTGTTTCTCAAATTCACCACTGCGGCGCGGCCAATTGGGATACCCTTGGCCTCGCGATCATATGATTCGAGGAGGTCAGGAACTGGAAACGCAGATTATTGTTAGCCATGCATTAGCAAGATGATTCAATCTAGCCTCCTTACCCATTGTCTGCTCAATCCAAACAGGCTGGCTCCCGCTCTTCTCTGCCATCTGGTTTATATCGGGGAAGTAGAACTTTCCCTCCTCCGGTTTGTTCTCCGGCGTAAACATGTTTTTCTTCCATGGCTCTCGTAGCAACCCCTCCACAGTCACCTCTTCATCCAGTACACCCAAAGGCCGGTCTTTTTGGTCCTTCAATTTCCTTGAGATCCAACCCCGGTTCACAAGCACGGTGCTCTGTCCCTCTCGCTCGAGGGGAGTCACCACGATAAACCCGTCCTCTCCTTCGTTCATGCGGGGTCCAACCAGCATTTCTTTGTCATGGCGGAGACGGCCGGTAGCGTACACGCGGCGGTAGTCGAACTCTGAAATGGCGCCTGGGTCGATTCGCGGCGGGAGTGGCAGAGGAGGCTTCACGAGGCGGTCCTCGAATTTGGCGATCAGTTTGGTTTTCCAGTCCAGGCGCTGTACCTGCCATGTTCCCAGGATAAATGAGATAACAGGAATCAAAGCTATAGATATGTACAACAATACGTTAGCAATTATCTCTTGGCCATTAAGACACAGTATTCTGAAGAATATGTAGCATGGGACATGGACATACCCAAAATGATCAGACCAGGTCCATGTTTCTTATTGACACGGACAAGCTTCGCCGGGTGGTCTACAATATTCAGACTCTCAGTTAGCTGGTGCGATTGCGAGATATGGCGGAATTGTTGTAGGCGGTATTTGGCGCAGATGGAGTTGATCTTCGATGGTGCACGAGGGCTCCGAACAGCCCGAGTCAGCGGTGTCCAGACCCTCGCGGATGTCTTCTGCAATGCGGAAGAGATCCACTGCATAACAACGGTTTAGAAAATGTGAAAGAGTGAGTTGAGATTTGGACGGGTTTGGAGTTGGAGTTTCTTGCAAATGCGATGGCAGTTGTGAATTTCGGGATCGGGGGTTACCGTGACCGCCCAGGCTTCTCCAATATTATACTTGTCTCTCCGCATTGTCCTTGTCTTTACCGGAACGCGATCATGACGCTGTTCTACAACGGATCCCTTCGGGAGGGCATTGCTGCTGCAGTGAGAGATGTCAAAGCGGTTACTTGCTTTGTTAGAGGTCGCTGGTGTTATCCCCGCATCGAATGACATGTTGCTGATCTTAGATTGAGCATACAGATGACGAGGAGTTAAGCTCTCAATGGGAGGACGCGTATTTTGGTGATGATGAGGTACATCCATTCACTACAATGAATGTCTGATGGTATCTGACTTCCTACAGGTTGCGCAAGCACTCAATGCCAAAGCAGTTGTATTGCGCTTGACAGCGGGGTCACAGGAAGCTGGATTCCTGGCCTCTTTCTGTCCGATCTCGAAATTCCCGACTGTTGTTCTTATCAAGTGTGTCCGATCCTTCAACGCTGTGGGAAATTTGGTATTGGTTTGTTAACTTCGCTCCAGGAATGGCACGCTTAAGGAATACATCGGGCCAGATGTCTCGAAAGATGACTTCCGCGGTCGATTGCTTGCGGCTTTAGAAAATGACCAAACACCCAGTCCTATGAAGCAATCACAAGGAAATGACACTCCTACTGCTTCAACTAATAATACGCCGGTGCCAGTTGCGCCCCAACCCAAGCCTGAGGCGCCATCGAATACCAGCAAATCTGCAGAGCAAGCAAGTGAAACTGCAATGAAGACACGATCACCGACTGAACAAATACCTGAGAAAGCTGCAGAACCAGCAAAGTCAACAGGGTCTACTTTACAAAAGCAGTTATCACCCAAAGAAGCCAGCAATAAAGACATTAAAGGCAAAGCACCGATGGGGTCTAAGAAGCCCACTGATAAAGGTGTGGTAAAGAGCGAACACCAAGAGCCAAAACCCATAGTCCGCGGGCCCCCAACTGAGTACCGGCTACAAGTACGCCTGTTCGACGGAAGCTCCGTGCGATCTAGCTTTACACCCACACAGAGCATCCGAAATGATGTGCGGGCTTGGCTTGATCAGAAGATGGAAGGCGACAATCGACCCTACAACCTCAAACATATCTTAACCCCCCTCCCCAGCGAAACTCTTTCCGTCGCACAAGAGTCACAAACTCTCCAAGACTTACGTCTTGGTTCCACCGCGAACCTGGTCATGGTTCCCGTATCAACATACACGGAGGCTTATTCGGCAGCGGGCAGCTTGCCCGTTCGTGGTATCTCTGCCGTCTACAACCTGGCCTCTTCCGCTGCCAGCACCGCAACAGGTCTCGTTAGTTCATTCCTTGGATATGGCTCGACCGCACCGGCGAGCGGTGCAGATACCCCTTCGGCCTCTCCGGCTACCGGCAATTCTCAACATCCTAGGAACACAGGACCCAATATTCGGACGCTGAGGGACCAGCAAGACGGACGTGGGAATAGTCAGTTCTACAATGGGAACCAGGTATGTCGTGCTAAGTGATAATAATATCTTGTTCGGAGTTGGCTAACATCTTCCTTAGTTGAACTTCGAGCCACAGAAGAACCAGGATGACAAGGATAAATAAGTCCCAGCGGTATTGCTTTAGTGTTCTTGCATTATTTTCATATATGGCGTCGATGGATCGGACGATCTGTGGTATGACACTCTGGCTATTATTCACTCTTTGTGTTACTCTAAAATTAGCAGTCATAATAAGTGGCCTTGTCCATGGAGCTTTTACTACTCATTTTCATCGTATTTGGGTTCGAAACAGGTATTGGTCAAACAATCTACAAATGTAGAAGTTCGTTAAATTCATGCATTCGAATTCTTGATCCGGTAGTCAAGCATTGGTTCCTTTATCGAGGAGAGATGGTATAGAGTACAAAGAGGGGATATGGAAATGGCTATGTAAAAGAAAGATTGGCTATGAACAATCAAGCCCATAAACCCATAACCTATTACTAAAAATGGTATTTGTCTTTCTGACCACTAAGGGTCAAATTTGTATAAGACCCTTAGTAAGGCTTAGCGGCAGCCTGGCAAGCTTTCTGCGGAACATTAGTATGTATTCAGAAGGCAGAGAAAAACAAACAAGTGTAAACATACCAGCTGGTCAAGGTACCAACCGCAAATGCTCAAGTTACCCTGGTTCTCATCCATGCAAGAGCGGAAGTTGCGGGCATCAACCTGACAGGCGGGGTTATCGTACGAGGTCTGGGCAGCGTTGCTCTGGTAGAGGCCGTTGTCCATAGCCTGAGCAGGGGGAGCCTGCTGGGCCTCAGCGGGGGCGCTGGAGCCACCGCCGAAGAAGCCACCGATAGCGTGGCCGATGGAGGAGCCGACAGCAACACCACTGTATCGAAATAACTGTTAGTACATATGCCGGAAAAGTCGATCCTAAACCCGGATTTTATCGGGGAACGAGGCACAACGCCGGCTCTTGTACTTACGCTGCGGTTGAGGCCATCTGGCCGAACAGCCCAGGGCCGGCGCTCTGCTGCTGCATGGGAGGGACCTGCTGGGCCTGTTGGGGCTGGGCGGCGGTCGAGTGAGGCTGCGACTGCTGCTGCGAGGGAGCAGCCGCGGGCCGAGCAGGAGCAGCGGTAGGGCGGCTGGGAGCGCTGCGCGCAGGGGTGGGAGCGGCACGGCGTTGTTGACGAGGCATTTTGAGTGTAGGTTTATTTGGATGAATGTAAAAGGGAGGTGAGGATACGCAAGTTGAGATAAGTATAAGTGCTAGTGGAGAAAGAAGAAGCTAGAAGATGAGTAGGTTCGGCCACTGAGGCAAACTCCGATGCAAACCTTGGAGACTTGTGGACGCTGATTGGTGGATAGCCGTCACGTGGATCGGACATTACGGTGCCGGTTGGCCGGAGCGGAGTCAGGAACGGAATTTATGGGAATTACTAGCATGTGCTATTGAAAGCTATAGAACGTTGGAATGGACGTGCGCAAATTATTTCATGGCACAGTTTCATATACTAGCTCGTGCATAGAGTGTATCATGGAGCTTGTTGTAGCTCCCATTGTGGAAGGGTATCTTGATTCATGGAGACATCCAAGTCTCGTACATAGTACATACATAGAGCCACTCATCGTGGTCTCGAGATGGCCGAGACATCCATCTAAATGGAAGCTCATGGCCGTAAAGGATCGGCAAAGCGATGATTAGATTCGACGATGCACGGCGTGTCGACAGAGGTTCTGATAATGATCGCGCAATAGCCAATGCTATGCTTTGAGACTGCCCGGCAGTCCGTCCTTAGCATTCGAGGCGCAACGCAGTCCGTACTTAGTTCCCAGCAAAATTGGGGCGCGATGCACTCATTGGGCCTTTCGCACCTTTCGGGCCTCCTCCTTCTTCAGCCGTCGCTCCTTCTTCTGTTCTTTCAGTGTCGTCTTACTGATTTTCCTCTCCTTCTTTGCCTTGCTGCTTTCTGATTTGTGCTCTCCTTTGGACTTCTTTTTGCTATCATTCTCGGTCTTTCCTGGTGGGCTTGTGTCGGCCTGGGGCTCTGCTGCTGTTGTAACGTCCACTCCACCATCAGAATCACCATCGTCAGAGTCGTTATTGGTTTGTGATTTTGAGGCTTCCATGCTCTTGCGGGCGAGCATGTCTGCTTTGAACTGAGCGCGGGCTCGCTCTTTGGCTTGCTTTTCTGCCCGTTCCAAGTCATACTTATCATTGCCAGACTGTGTAAACTTGGTCAATAGCCAGTGCAATACAATAGAACAGGTCAACACTTACAAGGCCATGCTTGATGAATCTGCCCGCAGCTGCCTTATCAAGGGTCATGGGGCGTTCCTCCGGCTCGGTCTCCAGTGTCTTGATCTTTTCAAAATACTGCTTCACACGGGTCAGTTCCCGGAACACTGGGTGCTGCTTCGCATCCACGCCATGAAGCCGCAGATAAGCTGTCCAATTCAATTAGCACAAGTAAAGTCTATAACACAAGTAGTGTCACGTACAGAAGATTAGTGATTCTAGTGTGTAGGTGATCAACACGTGAAGTTTTGCTTTGTCCATAACAGGCAATTTGTTTGAGCCTTTGAGGAGGGTACTGGCCAAAAGAGGCTCGAGCACACCCTCCAAATCATCGACATTATCATCCAGCTGCTCAAGCAGAGGTAGCAGGTCTGTTGGGTCCATGGCGGTGAGACGTGGTGCAGATGAGAAATTGCTTGATCTAAGAGAAAAAGTAGGACCGGTTCAACTGGGGCGGTGAAAGCTGGCGGTGAAAGCTGGCGGTGTGGATTCTGGACCGATTATCATCTGCGCAACTGAGATCGCCGAGAACTCGCGCATATTCAACAATTGCTTGATTGTTTAAAGATAGCCCTGGGCGGACACCCAACGGCTGGGCTCTTGCCTATTTGACAATAAATGCTCATGCCATAGAAATCGATACCTCACCGAACCCATCGTTCTGAGCTCCTCCCATCGCCAAACACGCACTTGCAACTCAATCGGATACCCCGGGGAGCTTTTCCTCGGCATTCTCAGAATGCAGTCAACATTTTGGTCCCACTCTTTGTGTCGAACTGGCATTGTTGGTACATGTCTTCGCTCCCGGTTCCAGGTCTATGGTGGTCCAAACACACGATTTATCTCAACATGGAAGGAAGAGTTGCGAGAGGTCAACCATGATACCAAAGCCCCTCTGTCAGGACGAGTGCATATCCTTGGAATGGGAAATCTAGGTTGCTTCTTTGCTCATTCTTTAGCCACGAGACGGTCACCGCCGCCGATCACAATATGCTTGCACAATGACTATCTCTACCAAGCCTTTGTTCGGAAAAGGGGACAAATCTCTGTCAGCACCCATGGCCTTGACGATGTCAGAACGGGATTTGATGTTGAAACAGTGGACGAAGAAGGAAGATGGTATACAATGCCTCCGGTTGACAACCGGCCCTCGCAGTTCAATTCCGAGTCACAGTCTCCACCAGATAATGGTCCCATCGAGTGCCTGATTATTTGCACCAAGGCGCATCACACGGAGCTTGCCATTAAAGACATTAGCCACCGTCTGACCAAAGACTCGACGATTTGTCTTGTCCACAATGGCATGGGCGTACTCGACTCTATCAATCAAAATGTTTTCCCCGATCCCAACAATCGACCACATTACATCCAGACGGTCTTCAGCCATGGTTTGGGTAGGAACGACTCGTTCAAGATTTCGCATTTGGGAGTTGGGACTACAATCCTTAGCCCAGTTGGAGATCCCAGTATCCCTCCCACAGCGCCGGAAGCTGACCATACGTGGGCGCCGTCCACAAAATATCTTCTGCGCCTCTTAACTCTCACTCCGCCCTTGGTCGCCGTGGCTGATACGCCGGCGGGTCTATTACAGTATCAACTCGAGAAATTGGCAGTCAACTGCGTCATCAATCCCCTGACTGCATTGAGTGACTGTACCAATGGCGAAATCCTGTACTCGTTCAGCTTTACCCGTGTCATGAGGCTGCTACTCTTCGAGATCTCCGCCGTGATCTGTGCTCTTCCTGAACTGCAAGGTATCCCGGGCATCGAAGATCGCTTCTCCCCAGAACGCCTGCGTCGTTTGGTTGTAAACATCGCGAGCAACACGGCCAAGAATCACAGTTCGATGCAGCAAGATATCAACCAGAGGAGATTGACAGAGATTGAATACTTCAACGGATGGATTGTGCGTCGCGGTGAAGAACTGGGTATAAAATGCGCGCTCAACTACATGATCAAGCATTTGGTTGCTGCCAAAGCGGCTACCCATCGGAGCCGAGAAGCTGGCGCAATTCCCCTCGATCTCGACAATGTCATCTCTACCAATGAACCTCCCATTTAATAGCTCTGGACTACCTTCTACTCTGTCGAGTCCTTACTCTACCTTGGCTCCTTGTCATATCCCCCTGGTGTGAACAGGTCAAATGATTCGACAATGATCTAAATTCTTTCCGAAGAATCTCTATACAGAGACAGTTTTGGCTGCATGATCGCAAAGATCTTTGATCTGCCTCCACCGTCTCAGAAGCATCTCTGCTTTTGAACGATGTGCTTGAACTGTGGTGTCGAGTTCCATGGCCTTCTGCAGCGCCGTTATAGATGCATCTGCCTCTGCGGCATATCTCAGAATCCACTTCTTGATGGTGGCCTCGGATCGACTCTCATCCAAGCCCTGTGATTGGCCTTCAAGAACATGGTTCCGCCAATCCTCCTCCTTCATATAACTCAGGCATGCAGCGACCTCTGTGCGGTAACAGGGTCCATGTGGAGTGACTTGGTAGTTACTAGCGCTGTGTCAGTGGAGAACTGTATATATCGCATGGGAAATGCGCATTGTCATGTAAAATATCAATCAAACCACATACCCATAATACTGATTCAGCCACAACTCCTCTTGCTGTCCAGCGGAATGAATATCCCGAAAAATGATATCGTCAAGATAGATCGAATCTGCTTCATTCACATCAAGGAAGAAGCCATCTGTAGAAAAGGGAGGGGCAATGTCAGCGCGCCGAAGGGGGAAAATAAGAACGCCTCCTCACATTCTGCTAGTAAAGTATCATTCGGATGACTGCCATAGTTCATGAACACTTCCTCGCCCTCGTCATAATCTTTTGTAGCGCGGAATTCATATGACTTCTCATCAAATTTGACATCCCGCTGTTTCCATCTATGTGTTAGCTCGGTCAATACAACATGAAACTCTCAGACGAAGCACGTACAGCAACATCCGCATGATTGAAATAATCAGCGAAAGGCACCAGCCCCATCGCATCATTAGGGTCTTCCGGCGTTTCCTGTCCCTCGCCAATCCAATAGAAGCTCCTCGTATTCACAATCAACCAGTTGTATGAGAATGTCTCCCAGTTCGTACCGGGGAAGGCAGAAATGACATCCGTCCACGATTTGCGCAGGCGCTGAGCCTGCTGCGAAAGAATGTCTTGGTAATCTGCACTGTATTTCCTCGTCTTTGGGCCTGGCTGCAGACTATTCCAGATCCCTGAAATTGACGGCGGAAGTAGACTAGGCTGCTCTGAGTCGGTTGGGGCGTCGTCTTTGCTGCTGGGCAACTGCGGTCCTCCCAGGGCGGTTGGCCAGAGGATTGGCATGCTGTCTTCGAAGTCTTTTCGGCTAGGCCATGACTTCCGCCATAGATCGTATTTTGACAGTTCTTCTGGTGGACCATGCGTGAGATATGCCGCCAGAAGTGCTTGTACAGCAATGTCTTCTGGGAGTTTGTCGATAAAGGTGGAAGGGATATCTTCGACCCTTAGCATCAACTTTGTCGGCACTTGGAGGACGATTTCTCCTTTCTGTATAGATACTCGGTGAGTAAATATACGAATGACGAGTATATACACATTCGGGGTTCATACTTTGATGTTCCGGGTGGCCATCATTCCCAACCCACGTCCTTCGAACCGGGCTGGAGTCACCGAGTTGGTGTCTATGCCATTGGAGGTCGCCCATTCGGTGAAGGCCTCATGCTCTTCCCCAGGCCACCATTCTGGATTCATATTGGATGTGGTTTGTTCTTCTTGGCAGACTTCGAGATGCTTGCCCTAGTCAGTATATATTACAAGATAGGGATTGAGTTAGAGAGATATATATTTGTTAGAACACACCTTGAGAGCGAGCCTGTTTCAATATATCCTGTTCTCTCAAACCAAAAAGCCTAAAAAAAATATTAGTCGCCTCAAAACGCGTCGATGTGTGTCTGAAATTCACTCTACAATGCAGATGGTTATCGGCGATAAACGGCGTTATCGCGAGCTACGGCAAGGTACGACGGCCACTTGTGCTCTCCCTGCCGATCCGATAATCATACCACCTCCCTCTACTTCCGCTTCAGCTTTCGTCCCAGACCATGCACAAGTTCCTCTGGCTTTGGGATACATAATGTCGGTCCTTGGGAGGCGTGGGGCAATTGAGCTCCGAGCCTTGGCTGCCAGCTCAAATCTATCAGCTGCAAGCACTCTTCGGCCCTTTTCCGTTCTGAACCGCCCACCACCAAACTACCCTGGCCATGTCCCATTGACTACTATTGAGCGCGGGGCTCTTGCTGTGGGCTCGGCAATTGGATCCCTTATTAACCCTAGAAGAGCGGGTGCGTGGATATAATTTCCTACAGGTCCAGTTGAGAATCTAGTATCACGATCTAACGTTGTACTCTATAGATCTCATTGCGGCCTTGGGCGAAGCTACCGCGACACCATTTTTCATATACCGACTACGGGATGCCATGCTCTCGGATCCAACCGGGCGCCGCATTCTCCGCGATCGCCCCCGCATCACCTCTGAAACCCTCAATATGACCCGTCTCCGCACCCTCCCCGAGAATTCCGTCGGTCGAACATACGCCAAATGGCTAGATCGTGAGGGCGTATCCCCCGACACCCGAGATACCGTCCAGTATATCGACAATCAAGAATGTGCATACGTCATGCAGCGATACCGCGAGTGCCATGACTTCTACCACGCAGTGACGGGTCTACCGATTTTCGTGGAGGGCGAGCTGGCTCTCAAGGCGCTGGAGTTCCTGAACACACTTCTGCCCATGACGGGGCTGAGTCTATTCGCCTTTGTGCGGTTGAAGCCTGCCGAGAAAGAGCGGTTCCTCTCGTTACATCTCCCGTGGGCTATTCGCAGTGGGTTGGGGAGTAAGGAGCTTATCAATGTTTATTGGGAGGAGGTGTTGGAGAAGGATATTCACGAGCTTAGAGCTGAGCTGAATATCGAGCGTCCGCCGGATCTAAGAGAGATTCGGAAGATGATTCGGCAGCAGCAGAAACGGGAAAAAGAGAGACAGCAGCAGGCTTCGAACTGAGCTAGATTGCGTCCTGTTAGAGCGATGGATCTCGAGTATAGGGGGAGATGTATGATTATTGCATCGTTGTAAACCATATACCGATGCGCAGATGCGCAGGTGCGAGGCTGATTGCCCTGAATTCAACCCGGCTGCCAAAAATGTAAAAGAACGAAGGACCATAACGCCTGGAGTAGAATTTCCGAGTGGCCCGCGAGCGGATGGCATAAAGCTATCCGAATGCAATAAATAAAAAGGCCAATCACATTGTATGCGACCCTTACAGGTCCAAGAGATCATCATCGTCATCCCACCCACCTTTGCGGCGAGAGATGACGATTTTGTGCTCCTCCTCCTCTTTGCGCTGGTTCTCCGCAACAGCTCCCAACAATTCCTTGAGCTGTGCCTCGGTTACCTTTGCCCGTAACTGTCCGGATTGGGCGAGCATGATGAGACGGTTCTCGATATCTGTTGCGCGCGATTCCTTAACGAGGCGGATACGGCCCAGGCGATCGGCAGCTTCGGGGTCGAGGATTTGGTTCAGGATCGAGGCGCGTTGCTCGGCTGGGATAAATCAAAGGGTTAGAACGCGGCAATACAAGCTCGTTGTTTGTAGTCCATCGAATGCGAATTGTGGACTAGAAACGTCAGATCTAGGGACTTACCCTCTGCTTGTCTGGTTGGGTTCATTAGCATACAACATATTCTTGCGGCTTATTCCAACACTTACCTCCTCTGCTGTGCCTGCTCGCCACCATCCTGACCGGCTGGACCACCTCCACGTGGTGCTTGTCGCTGGAGTTGCGCGAGACGAGCTCGTCGGATCTATTTCCTCTCTCTCTTAGTATCGGAGTCGAAGGGCGCAGGCCTCTCATGATATGACTGTGAGACTGACCTCTTCTAGCTCTGCATCTGCCATGGTGGATATCCAAATGAAGTGAGGGGGCTTAGATTGATCGAGTGTTGAAGAGTCAAGGATTAATTTGGTGAACCCCACTTGGACTGGCCTGAGTACGGAGGGGTGTAACGGCCATACTTCATTCCGGGGTAGGTCTAGACAAATACATCTTATACGACATTTTACTTCGTTGGGGCATGTAGTTACTGGTAGAAGGAGGAATTGAAGAATTCTATGTCATGGCAATTATAGTTGTGTATATATCAACTACCATCTATATGTTTTGTATAAAGGTCCCTCACACCCTACCTATGTAGGTATATAGTAAATAATTAGGAATTTAAAGGGCCCCTAATAAACAATACAACTATGGAGATAGGAATAGATACCGAATAACCGATAATAAACCTATTTAGCACCATACATGTGCCTAGGCATGTAGTAATCTACGAACATTTCCCCTCTTAAGTCGCACGCGTACTCCGTACCTGCGGGGGAATTACACGTGGAACTTCAATATTTCAAACTACACCGTTGACTTGCACATATAATTTGGGGGTATGTTTATGTTTTTTATGTGTTTAATTGGCTTTTTCATGGCTAATACCTCTTACTATATTTGCTTGGTCACTGTGTTCTGCGTGATAAGACCTTAACATGTGCTTTATAGGCGCCTATCACGTACTTTGTAGGCAGCCACTAAAAACACGATCCACAAGATGTATGGAGTACTGCGCCTTGAGGGGCAAGTCTTCTGAAAGTAATTACTCCGTACCTTGGTAGTCCATACCGATCGATAGCTTCAGGGTTAGCTCCAAATTAATCCCCGATCAGAAGCGCCCGGGGTGTCCGTTCCGTCTCCGGGTGGCAATGCTGAGTTTGTCCCCCTCACATTGACTTTCCCTTTGAAAGGCCTTTCATATTCCAGATTAAACTCTTCACCTTCTTACGCATAGCGCAGACGATCTTTCAATAGTCCATCCGTGCTCGGTTCATTTCCGGGTGACTAAGCCTCGATTCGTCCAGGTCTTGCACTGCAACCCCGACTTCCCCGACACCCTCAACAGGCTGATATTTCCGGTCAGTCCTGTTTGTGGCGATTCAATCCTTCTCTTCACTTTGAGCACATTCATTTCTGTTGCGTCTTCGGCCATCCGACTCTCCTCACTTCTAAATCCGGAGTCCACTATCTTTCAGCCCATTACGTACCGCGTGGACCTACTCGACCGCACGCGCGACATTTCTATTCTAACACTTATCCCTTTGGTGTGAATGGCGTGGATAGTAACCTGTCTACCGGAGCTTTTCTGGACGTGATCTTGTTCTTGTTCTGGCGACGGAGCGAACAGTCTCGTGCCTTACATCCCGAACGCCTTCTACGTCACCCATCATGGCCGAGTAAGTATCCATCAAGATGCCCTTTTGGGGACTTCAATTATTGACACTTTAGGTGGGGCAGTCTAATTGCCTTTCGAACCTCTCATCATAGCTTCTTCTCTCCATCGAACATGATCCCGCGCAACGCCCACAAGAGGTCGCTCTCCTCTGAGCACCGGTCGTTATCTCCTGACCGAACCGTCGTCAAAGCGAAGTCGACTACCAATCTCTCCGACATCGCTTCTTCTAATGGAACACAAAACTCCGGATTTGATGAAAGCAGTTTCAGCACCTTGCAGGACCCGCGATTGATGGTCGGGCCGGAGGTCTCACATTCGACGTCATCGTCTCACCACCCCGATTTGAGCAACGAAGTAGCAGCATTGTCTGTGAAATTGATTCAGGCCATCAACAACCAAACAAACCTCGATGACAGCCTGGTTGCTACCCGTCAAGAGCTAGAGTTGGCTCAGGGCAAGATTCAAGCTCTGGAGTTCCAGAATGAGAAGTACCGACGAGACCTTGACAACAAAGTCTATATCAAAAAGTTCGACTCTGATCGTGAAATTTCGCGGCTTCGCGATGCGTTAGCGGAAGAAACGAGTCAGCGTCTCGTTGCTGAAAAGGGCAGGAAGAATATTGAGCAAGAAGTGGAAACTCTTACTGCGGCTCTTTTTGAAGAAGCCAATAAGGTCGGTAATCTCCTTCAACATATGCGTCTTTTTAAGCTAGATTCTAACGCTACTTCAGATGGTGGCTGCAGCTAAAATCGAACGAGAGGCGGTGGAGAAGAAGAATGAGCAGTTACGTTCACAAGTCAAAGACACCGAGTTGCTCCTGGCATCGCACCAAGACCAGCTTGCTGAGCTCAAGTCTGTCATGCAAGATATGAACCTTCAAAAAGATGACTTGGAAAGCCGTGCCACTACCACTCCGTCGTCCCCGGACGAACTTTCACAAGCGCAAGGTTCTAGTAGCCAAGAGACCGAGCTTGAACCCGCTCCTGTGTTGATTGGCAACCTTGAGGAGTTCGCCCCGGGCCCTTCCTCCAGCTTCCCGCAGCTCCTCCGCATGGTCAGCCGGACGGATTTACAGGCTTATGAGGATTTCCGCGATCTGCTGGTACTCTCTCGGAGCTCCAAACCTCCTAGCCGTGCTGCTAGTGGGTCATATGGAGGCCTGAACGTGATGGGTCTGGCAGGCTTTGCTAGTGGAGGATCTCCGTCGTCGACCTCATCACCCACAAAAGGGTTTACCCATTCCCCCAATGGGAGCACATCTTCTACAACGGGATCGAATTTTTCCTTGAAGGAAACTCGCTTCTACAAGCGTGTCCTTATGGAGGATATTGAACCTACATTGAGACTAGATCTAGCCCCAGGGATCTCATGGCTGACCCGACGTACCGTTCTAAGTGGTATCTGCGAGGGCAGTCTTATCGTGGAGCCAATGCCCCCATCAGCCAAGAAATTCGAATTCCCCTGCTCTGTCTGTGGTGAACGCAGACCTGGCACGCCCAACGAGAGAACACATCGTTTCCGAACGTCAGATAGCGAGTCCGCTCAAAGGTACTCACTCTGTATTCTCTGCTTAGAAAGAGTGCGCTCGTGTTGCGAGTTCACTGGTTACCTACGTCTCATCCTTGATGGACATCTTCGGGCTGGCGATACCGAAGAAGAAAAGGAAATCTGGGATGAGACTATCCGCCTCAGAGAAAGGATGTTCTGGTCCCGTGTCGGAGGAGGCATTATTCCAATGTGCCATCGCCCAAGCGAGCCAGAGACGGAGCCGGCCAGCACAGAGTCTAATAATGACACCGCCGAGGACGATGATGACCGCTATCTCTATCCTGTGGACGTTACTCACATCGAGCCCAGGATGGAGAAAGCATCAGCGGCGGATCAACTCGCGCCGGAAACACCAATCACAGAAACCGCTACTGAGCACATAACCCACCCTGATGTTCCTCGACCTCAAAGTTCCATCTATGACAGGGACGACGCTGCTTCTTTGAGTGACTCGGAACGAAAGAGAGTTTCCACCGATTCAGCAGCAAGCGTTTATGAAGAAGCTAGCGCTGACGTGGATGCCAATTCCACGGTCCCTGTCCCCAACGAGCCCTCGATCGTTCAGAGTCGAGAGACGGAGACAGACACAGACTTCGCCAGACCCAATGGTTTGAGCAACTCTTGACCTCGGTTGATCATAAGCGATCAACCCGGAGTGATACGACTACACGGTTTACCCAGCATTTTATGATCCGCCTAATGTCTTCCCCCACCCTTTGCCATTGCATTCTTCAGCCACTTATTCTCTCTTCCCCAGCTCCGTTGATACAGACCTGCCCTTTGGAAATGCTGCTTCTGCTTCTGCTTCTACCTCTACCTTTAATAACCCATTGGGTTAACACCTTGATGATGTTCCTCATTGCTTCTGGCTTTTTGCGTATCCTCTTTTCACTTTCAGCAGCATGGCCCTTGTATTATTATCAACCTTTTCCCTTCCAACCATTTATACATAATAATGAGATTTGTTTTTTTCCCTTGTTCTCTTTTTTTTCCCGCGGATATTTGGACCAGGAGTGGCACTTATGGATTTTCACTGTTTCTGTTCTTTTTTCTTCCTTTTCTTCTTCGTTCCCGTTGTTGACGCGCGGCCATGCTGGTGCGGGGCCCGTTGGTGGAAGTATTGTGACGAACGATAGATGAATTTGAATCAAATTGCAATATAGATGATATATTCCCTTGGGATAATATGCAGTAGAGATGCGATTAACAATGCCAGTCACTACTGTTCAAAGAATAAGCAGTACTTTGTACGCAATATACAGATTCAATGATAAAATATAGTGGGAAGAAGCATAGACCAGACAAGATGTTTCATGAGGTTAGAGTAAAAGAGGGCTATTGTACACAAATAGAAAAAAAGAAGCTCATCATCCAGATTTCATCCCTTCCAAACTCCACAAATGGCAGAAAAGATACCTTCGAAACAGAAAACCCCGCGAAACCTCAATTTTGGAACGAGAACATCCTGTCTGAACTGCATCTAGCAGGGGGGATATCATTGCTTGGCAAGCTGATGAATATGTCTGAGCTGGTCTTCGATATTCATACTCTGGGGGTTGGGAGGCTGCACACCGGCCGGGCCGACGTTCGGGTTTTGCGGGCCAGCAGAGCCATCGAGACCCATAGCCAATCGCTTGCGGCGCGCTTCCTCCTCCGTATCGAGGGGGGAGGGGTCGAAGACGTCGCTGCGTTGGCTTGCAAGACGCTTGAGGTTGTTGACCACGTCCACGGTGGAGAGGTTGGTGGTGGCACTGCGGGCTTCGGCCTTCGCACGCTGCTCTTTCCAGCGCGGATCGAGCAGCTCGATACGGATGTGCTCGTCCAGCTCGTTGGAGGGCACTTTCTGGTTGCAGTAAGGGCAGATCGCCATCTGGGCTTGTTGACGGCGGGCCTGGGCTCGGGGCACGTAGTCTGAGCGGATGCGCATTGGCTGTTGGCCTGGGGTGGCTTGGGGGGCTGCTTGGGCGGCGGCGGCCTGGTCGCGCGCTTGGGCCCGCCCGTGGATGCGCTGCTCCTCTTCGGGGTTGGTGTACTGGCCTGGTGCGGGGTAGGGGCCTGCTGGGTAGGGCGAGACCGCGGGTTGGGGGGGCTGCATGGGTGCGGGTTGGACTGGGTAGGCGTTGTAATAGACGGGTTCGTCGAGGCCGGTGGGCATCGCTTCCTCGATGCGTCGTGTGCTGAGGGAAAGTGCTGCTCTTTGCTCGAGGGAGGCGGACTGCAGGTCATTGGCGGAGGTCGGCGGTGGCAAGTCTGCGTGGTCGTCGTGCTCGGTGAACTCGACAGTCTCGGCCACGACGAAGTCGTGCCAGTCGATCTGGGCGTACTCAATGCGCTCCTGTTCACTTTTCTCTTCCTTCTCTTGCTTCTGTTGCCGTTGGTATTTCACCCACTCTGCCCGCTGCTTAGCACGCTCCATGACGTGGAATTTGTTCTTCGCATTCTGTTCCAGTTCTGCAATTCTTTTCGTGGATGAAGTCGCCTCGTCGATTCCCTCCGCGCGAAGCAAGATAGTGTATTGGTCGACCAATCGCGTGAAGAACTGGTAGAGACTATGCTGTGGCCGCAAGAAGTCGAATTGGAAATTTCTGGCCTCGCGCTGCGACAGCGCAGTCATGAATGACTTTCCCCGCTTTGCGACAAATAAAGCCGTGAGCTTGACCACATCCAAATCCTGTGCATTGATAATAGGCATGCGCGCCGAGAAGTGGAACGAGGACGGTTCAGGTGGCCCCTTGGGCTTTTCGGGTACTGCGGCGACAGACTCGCCAGCTCGACCTGCTGGTCCTGTTACTCGGCCCGCTTTGTACTCGGCTGTGTACCATTGATAGTAGGGTTCATAGGCGTCTCCAGGGGTCAGGAAGGAGAATTTGTAGTTGTTCTTTTCCTTCTGGCGGATACGGTCTTCGAAAGTGCCTTTATGGCGAACGACATAGCTTGCTGTGGTCTCGATGGCTTTTCGGATATCCTTGGGAGGAAGAACCATGCCCTCCGGAGGCTTCAGAGTCTCCTCAGACCCCACTGGGCGAGGTGTGCTTCCATTGGATGACTCCATGATGAATGGTGAAGATATGAAGAAATGGGGTCTTGTTCGACCGCAGACGATGGATGGGTCTGGGGCTTGCTGACTAGCTTCACTAGCCACACTGCATTTCACCGCCACATATAGTGGCAGTATTGTGGCCGTGTACTGTGGCAGTGTATCCCGTGCGCAGCCATGTTCCTGTCTGCATTCCGGCCTTCTCCACTGAAACGCAGTCCAGAATAGGGAATGTTTACTTTTTACTTTTTTCTTTTCATCGATATAGTCAATTGATGTCTAGATCATCTTATATACATATAGATAACAAATATCATATCATTTCAACTTGAAGTCCCACTACAGAAAAGACCGTTACAATACTAGGGGGCTAAAAATCTAAGGGGCTCACATGGTATCCTCCACAGCCGCCGTTGATCTGGCCTCAAGGCGGAACTGCACGCTTTCGTCCATCTGCGTTCACTCCAGCTCTTGTTTCTTCGACGTCCTTTTTTATTTCTCACTCTCTCTCACCAGCCATTTTTCTTTAATCTCTTATTTCTTCCCTGTCATGGGGCCTTTTTCCTCATTGTTACACGATCATTAATTGGTGTGGTGCCTGAATCCATTGAACGGTTGACAGCTCGAGGTCGAAATCAGCTTTCGACACCGTCCACTCGTCGATCAAACCCTGAGAAGCCTCTCATTGACGATTTAAATATAACTCAACTACACGCAATTCTCCTATCTTTCCCCCCTTGACATTCCGAGTCCCGTGCCGTTCTCCTGAACCGCTGACGTCGTTCCACACCTGTGTCGGCACAATATGGGCCAGAAAGCGAAAGACACACTGGCCGTACGGCCGCAGAGCCGTGGTAGACGCTCGCCCAGTCGGTCGCCCAAGCCCAAGAGTCGCAAGCCTTTGCCGGTGCCTCGGACGTATGCCTCGGATGGAGTGAAGAACAATGATATCTTCAAACTCCCCGGCTCGGACTATAAGCTTATTGTACTGGTGACTCTGATCGCCGCGGCTGTTCGCCTATTCAGAATTTACCAGCCCACCAGTGTGGTCTTCGATGAAGTCCAGTACGTTCCCCGCCAACCTTGTGTTATAAATCGAAATAAGACCGATCAGAGACTAATGATTTGCGCTTGAACAGCTTCGGTGGATTTGCTTCCAAATACATCAAGGGAAAATTCTTCATGGATGTGCACCCCCCGCTAGCTAAACTGCTACTTACGCTGGCTGGCTGGCTGGCTGGTTTCGACGGAAACTTTGACTTCAAGGATATTGGCAAGGATTATTTGGAGCCCGGTGTACCCTATGTGGCAATGCGCATGCTTCCAGCTATCCTAGGTGTCTTGACTGTCCCGTTGATGTTCCTCACCCTCAAAGTTACTGGATGCCGAACTTCTACTTCAGTCCTAGGTGCTGGTCTTGTTATCTTTGACAACGCTTTGGTCACTCAGTCCCGTCTGATTCTGCTCGACTCCCCATTGATTTTCTTTACCGCCCTGACAGCTTTGGCCTTCAGCTGCTTCACTAACCAACAAGAGCTGGGACCCGCCAATGCCTTCCGCGGCCCGTGGTGGTTCTGGCTGGTGTTTACCGGTCTTTCTCTTGGCGCAACCCTGAGCGTGAAGTGGGTTGGTCTCTTCACCATGGCTTGGGTTGGATCTCTCACGGCTCTCCAGTTGTGGGTACTGTTGGGCGATGCTAAGAATGTCACACCGGTATGTGTTCCCAGATTCAGATCAAGCCTTGTTTTATGTTAATAGTAGGATTTTTACAGCGTCTGTGGCTCAAGCATTTCTTCTCCCGGGTCTTCTGTCTCATTGTCATTCCTCTAGGCTTCTACCTTGCCATGTTTGCCATTCACTTTACATGCTTGGTTAACCCCGGAGAAGGTGACGGCTTTATGTCATCGGAATTCCAGGCAACTTTGAACTCAAAGTCTATGCAAGATGTTCCCGCAGATGTCTCATTCGGATCCCGAGTCAGCCTCCGCCATCTGAACACGCAGGGCGGCTATCTGCACTCCCACCCTCACATGTACCCAACGGGTAGCAAGCAGCAGCAAATCACGCTATACCCTCACAAGGATGAAAACAACGTCTTCGTTTTGGAGAACTCAACTCAGCCTCTAGGACCATATGGCGAGGTCGAGGGCCCGTTCGCCTGGGACAACTTGACTGCTCCTGGTTTCATTGAGGATGGTTCGATTATTAGACTTTACCATGCGATCACTCACCGAAGAATTCACTCGCATGACGAGCGCCCTCCGGTGACCGAGGCCGACTGGCAGTATGAGGTCTCTGCCTACGGATACGAAGGCTTCGCTGGTGACGCCAACGACTTATGGAGGGTTGAGATTATTAAGTCTATGTCCGAGACACCGGAGTCTAAGAAGCGCCTGCGCACTATCCAGTCCAAGTTCAAGCTGGTGCACGTCATGACTGGCTGTGTCCTGTTTTCCCACAAGGTCAAGCTTCCGGACTGGGGGTGGGAGCAGCAGGAAGTGACATGCGCGAAGGGTGGTACTCTTCCCAATAGCGTTTGGTATATTGAGTCCAACCAGCACCCCGCTATGGCCCCAGACGCCGAGCGA